AATTTCATAATACGCGAGGCCAAAGGGGCTCGCCTGTCACCTATTCTTATTAGGTTTTGAGTTTGATAAAGCCACACAGATAGAAGGACACTAAAGCGTGCTTATCTAACATCTTTATTTCATTTTCGTCCATCGCAAAAGGAGCATGAATTGGGCCGAAGGTCTTACAACAGGAATCTAAGGTGAACATTTCTACTTTTATAAGTGTAAAGCATTGCTCAAACTCACACTGGTACTGATGCTGGTATGAATTAACAGCAGATATTACAGAAGTCTTTTTACAAAGTGCCGCAAGACATGCCCTGCTCAAAACGAGTAAAAAATATTAGGATTTTTTGTACTGAGCTTGCAGACCACCGAGCTCAGATGTCCTCTATTTTCCATTAAGAAGACTGATGAAACCGGCTATATTTTACATTCACCACGAAACTGATGGAAACAAAAATCTGAATGAAAAGCTAACACATCTTAGGAGAAGCTGGGGCTCTCTGAGGCAGATTTGAGCCAAAATTCATTTCTGCTCACATTCAAACTGAGAAAAAGAGAATACAACAAACTGTAGTAAACAGGATGGGCATGCTTGGTCAGTATCAATTTCCTGAATTACCTTCAGTCCAAGCAGAAACTGAATAAAATGAGATGAAACTGCACATTTTGGTCTCTGTCTCATGTATATTGGGTCTGCCTTAACTGAGAAGCACAGAAACCTCACCTTTCCAAAAAGGTAGCACTAACAACTAATTATCTTCTCTCTAAATTATCACTAAAGGTTGTTTTTAATGGACAAACATGACCAAAATTTCATTAAACATTTATTTTGTTCAATTACATAGATAAAATATTGGGATAACATTTTTTCTGATGAAGTACACAAAGAAATGAACTTTTCTCATGAATGCCTGTAAACCTGACTGTGCGGTTTATTTGTGGAATAGTCAAATTGGCAGGTATCCATCAATATTCACATTGAAAAAAGTCCAAAATCCTGAGGGACTGACAAGTACTTTAGGACAGCCATCAGGTTTTTCCCAATGAAAACTATTTTCATAATGAATTTATTGGTCTTTGTTGGTTTGAGCACATTTTCAGGTGTGTCCAAAGTCTTATGGAGCGATAGTTTGACCAGGACTTACTTTTATCTCCATTATCCTTTACTCTCTAAGGCTGCTTCACATCGAAGATATCCCCTGGAACTCTTGCATGCCAATTTTAGGGCAGATGTCACTGTACGCGCTGCTGGCTGAGACTTGTGTTTAATCTGGCAGGAGAATACACAACAGTTGGTGCTCTTGTGGGATTTGAGGGTTAAGCTCCAGCGGTTAGAGACCATTTATGCTGTATTCTGTACAATGTAACTGAAAACTGCTCTCAGTCTTAAAGAGCAGCTTCATCTTTAAGTTTTGAGACATGACAGCGAGATTGTGCGTACGTGTAAATTTCTGACGTTACGTAAGTTGTTCAGGTTACGGGAGATGTTATTTATACCGAAGCTAAAGATGAGGATGAGTCGGACCCTTTGTGTGGATAAGATGCCACGGAAATTTTCCGCGGCTTAACTAATTATCCGTGGCTGTTTGCACGAATGATAAGTGATGTATATGTTCTGACCGGTGGAGTCTCGCGCACTTCCTCGAGTCCAGCTTACACATCCGTCAGACTCTGACACACTCCAGCGACACACGGTGCACTTGTTACCCCAGATCGCTATCAGCGCTACTTGCCTGTGCGTCAGTCTTGTTATCGGGGCAGTTTGGCGACTTTCAACCCCCCCTCGCTTTTCCCTCCGACCCTTCTGAAGTCACCCAGAGGGCCAGATCACAGCGAAATGAACATGTGGTTTGAGTTAGCATCTCTGAAATAAGCCCCTCTATACGTGAGCCTGTGTGTGTATTCCCAGAGCTTGTTGGTCTGGCTTAACTCGTGTAGTTTATAATTACTCCTGGGCTAATTTTGTGTGTGTATGCGTGTTGGTGTGTGCATTTGCATGGATGCTAGTTTGTATAAGTTTGGGAGAAGATGTTTTATGTCCTCTGTATGGGTCCGTCTTCACAAAGGAAGCAAGGGGTCAATTAGACAGTCAGCACACTGTGTCTCTGGAGGCTTCTTAAAAAAGTAACCGGGAAAAAGAAAATCCTCTGGACCTTTTGCTATTATCAAACCTCATTTTAATTCACGCGTCAGCTCCCACGCAGATGCACGTTTCTGCTCATGCTCCACAGACCAGAGCAGGTCTTTTTTTTGCCCGTGTGGCTCTTCTGGTGAACGGTGGAAGTTAAGGCCTTATCTCTGCAGTATCTCAGGAAGGAGGGCAGGAGGGAGAAGTGAACCAGCTCGTTCCAGCTATTTTCTCCACGTTTGATTCGTCGATTAACATCTCGCTGCGTCACATGGTCAGATCCTTTCCCCTCTTTGTTTCCTTCTTTACCTACTAACTCAGAAGTAACATCCTGTAAAGGACCTCCAAGCTTTTAGACTGCTGTGTTACCCATCTGCCCACTAGGAAACTTCATTCCTGAGTAAGTGATGCTTGTTAAACATAAATCATCCTTGAGTCAGACTAAACTAAATAGCACCTTTATTCCTCTCATTTGTCAGTGAGAATGATAAATAATATGAAGAGGAAATTATAAATGACGAGGTCGACTATAACCAGCTAAAAGGAATCCATCAAAGTAAAACTATGTTTGAATTCAGATGATATATCAGCAATTCCAGCCCTTTCTATATATATATTTTTGCTTTGAAGTCAATCAAATAAGAGATTATAGGAAATCACATTGAGTTGTATAAACTTCCATCATATTTGATTCCAAGTGACAGCAGAAAACCAAGAAACAAGCATAAAGTTTCTGGTCGGGACCACATGTATTCATACTGAGGAATCATGACTGTTTATGAGTAATGAACATTTTATCTCATGGAAAATCAAATCTGACATTTTGGCAGCTTAAACCATTTTGTACTGGATCCAAATAAGTTTTCAATGTCATTGTTATTTTGGATAAATAAAGCTGGAGAATTCCCTCGGTGGCAAAAAACACGAGTAAAGTCCAGCATTTCTACATTAGCTCCTTAATAATCCGTCTAGCCTCATAAATACATTTTACCATTGTATTGTGACTGGCTTCGCTCCTGATTAAACATCATTTGAAAATAATGTTTATTTATTTAAACAGTGGAAACCATTTCAAGATACGAAAACCAACAAACAACAGAAGCAGAAATATTTTATTATTAGGGCTTCTGTCTGACTTTGTTTTGACTGAACGTAAAATGGATTACTTCTAATAAACTTCACCAGATTCTTATTTATGATAGAATTCTAGCCAGAAAAGAACATCAATAATGACCACCGATGAAAACCAACACATTTCAGTCAATATGTACATATATCTTATTCCAACAATAATGTTATTGAAATTCTTGTTTCTAAATTAGCTCTGTGTGGTAACTATGATGTGATTTAAGTTTGGAAAAGGCCCCGATTTAGCACATAAGAGACTTTACAATCATATTCAAAGTTTATGAAAGGGTAATATGCTGACTAATACAATTCTATGGACACAACCTTATTTGGAGAGGGAATCAATTGGAAATCTTAAAAAGTGGTGATTTAGTTGATGATTGTAAAAATAAAGCTGTAATACACTCTAAGTTGATCTTGGTACCGGATAATTGTTAACTAATGTTTCTCTCATCTTTTATTAAACAGGTTGAGGTTAAGCAAAACTTCATTTCCATACATGGAATCTTTATGAAATCAATAAAAAACAAGACGACTGACTTTGTAAAAAAAAAAAGGCCCACCTAATTAGACGTGAACGTTGACTTTGTAAAATAAAAAAGGCAAACCTAGTTAAATAAATACTTTGGGACCGGATTACAGACGTGAAAACGGGGGGTGTTGTGGCCTGAACTTGGCCTCATTGGTAACTGCCCCTCCCGGCGGGACCAATCTGTTTGTTGGTCCAGAAGTATATTTATCAACCCCCCCGTGCTTCTCATTGGCACTGATATCCTGAGGATGTGGAGTCAGAGGCACGGATAAATGGCTGGATGGACAGATTATTTATTTGCCAGCAGCTGAAGGGTCAAAGCGTGGCAGCACAAACTGGCACTGGCTGATATTCCCAGAGATGGAGAGACCTGCTTCTTTATATATCAGACCTCCTGACATGTTTCAGTATACATGTTTGATTTGTTGAACTGGATGTACTGACTTCTGCTCAGTGGGTGGTTTCAAATCACACGATACTGCTGAGTCACCTTTATTTCTCCCTGTCCCGCTCTGAACCGTCAGCCTCTTTTTGATAAGAAAACTTTGATGGTGTCACTTAGACCTGATTAAGAGGCTTTAGTCCAGGTTTACTTTAAGTTCCAGTGATCCTGTGGTGCAAACATAAGGATGTGATACCTCCAACATTTTGATTTCAGATGATCAACTCTGAATAAGTGATACCAGAACATTTATTCAGTATAAAGTATGTTCAGGGTTTTGAATATGAATAAAGTCAGGCCTAACCATGGGTCGAAAATCTAAATGGTACCATTTGCCATATTTAAACCAAATAATCAGAATGTGTAATAATAATAATGACAAAACTCTCCTTTTCACCAAAAGAATGAGCAATGAACTTTGGCTGAGCCTGTAGAAGATGATGGAAAGATTGTATCCACACATGCACACAAACACTGACTGCAGCTGCAACCAAACGATAATCTTCAACATACTGACTCATACTGTCCCCACAAATTCATCCCCGTGTTTAAATCTAACGACGGTTGGGTGTGTTTAGGGCCATAAGTCATAAATCTGATCTGAGAGCATGCATTGTTGATTTTCTGTTAGCAAACATGTTTTCTAACCACAAAAATGATGTCCAGCCCCAACCTAACAGCTTCAGATTTGATGTCTTTGTTTGCGTGTTTTGCTTTTTATTTTGCTCTGAATCAATCCGACATCAAGCCATAAATGACACGCATCTGTTTGTTATTTGAATCTGCAGCTGGAGAATTTCGTTCAGAAGAGCCTGAGGCGGGAAGTTTCCAACGTTCAGTCGCATGCCGTTCACAACTCAACCGCCACCATGCTGGAAATCGGAACCAACCTGCTGTCGCACACGGCCGAGCAAACGCGCAAACTCAACGTGGTGGAAGCCAAGGTGGACGCCTCGCCTTTTTGTCTTAGCCCGCGTGCTCGGAGCAGATCCTCTGGATTTACTGTGGTTTTGGTTCTTCAACCAGGTGCTGAACCAAACCTCCCGGATAGAGATCCAGCTTTTGGAGAACTCCCTGTCCACCAACAAGCTGGAGAAGGAGCTCCTGCTGCAGACGACCGTGATCGACCAGCTGCGAGACAAGAACAGGTAGGAAACTGTTTGTGTTTGTTAGCGGGTCAACCCCACTGGCCACACAGGTGTGATTCAGAGGTCAGAGGTCAGCTTCAGAGTTACAGGCCTGAAACGTTCTTTGCACCACGGTGAGACATTTTTCTAAATCTGTCCGCAGAAGAAGAGAAATGGAAACCACACATGGAAGTTCGGTCCGTTCTAGGTGTCTCAAGGAGCACATTTGGGGTTCCACACGTGCACACGAGGGAAGAAAAACAATACCGTCTACGCAATCCCAGCTGCTCACTTATCAGTGAGGAGATGTGAAAATGCGAGCGAGTGGGCGCAGGCGATGGAAACGAGTCCGCGGCCGTTGCTCCGAGACGCGCTGATGTTTGCAATCACAATATTTTTCCCCATTTTTCATCGTGAGGCGGACTTGGACGCGGCGGCGTGCGCTGAAACATGCGGAGTGATGATCGGGAGCGCTCTCTGTTTACAGCGCCGGCGGCCACGCAAACGCAGAGGCTCAGGCCCTCTGCGCGTGTGTGTGTGTGTGTGTGCCTCTGCGTGTGTGCGCCTCCGCGTGTGTGTGTGTAACAGTAGCCTGACGGGTGTGTTAACACCTCCGTGAGTCAGTGGATACCAACACAGCTCATTAAGAGAGCACAAATCCTTTTACACCTCGAAAAAAAAAGGAAAAATCCGGGTCTTGTTGGTAGGTTGGAGTTGATTAAACCGACTACAGGAAGTCTACGGTTTCAATCGATACGCCAGAATGGCATAAACTGCCAAATGGACTGTATTTGAGGGATGGATTCCCTTGTGGGACTGAGGTGTTACTGAGCTCTCCCATTTGCATCCAGTCCTTTTTAACATGCTGTGCTTCTTTGTAACACCTTAAACTATCTTAAGTGTCTTAATGTAATTCATTGGTGATGCTTTGACTGCTGGTTTACTTTTATAATTGGGAAAAGATGTTCCACTGAGCCAGTTGTTAACGCACCTATCTTCGTCATTTCATGCCAGAATCAACTACCTCATCATGTAACGGGACAGTTTTCCAGTCAGTGGCCAATGCTTTTCTATTCACACACATGCAGGAGCATTTTTGTATATTTTCTTTTAATACATCTGGTGTGAACTTACATTGAGTCCGTGTACATTTGTGATTACACTGATCGTGTAATTTGTGGTGTGATCAATGAAGACGTTGACTGACATCGGGGGGGGAAACAGTGGATCTGCACACAGGCATTGAGCCAGAGGGATTTTTAGATTAATCAGAAACAACAAGGAGGAATAAAATTGCCTACTGAAAACTACAGCACACCAGAAACCATAAATCAACTTATTTTAAAGCAATTATTTATCTGTAATATTCATTAAATATGCAGTTCTTCCTCATTGTGTTGTGAATATTATGAATAAATCTTCATTTTTAGCAGGTATAATAAACAAGGGCATTCATTTGAAGGGATTCCACCTTTTATTGGGAAGGTAGAAGTCCAGTTGCATTTACTGAAGCTCTTATGGTGGTTAAACCAACAATCTGTCATCTCTGCTGCATTCGCTGTCACTCAGTAATCTGAACTCAGACTTCAGCGACAGACCCAAACCATACATTTGTGTTTTTTTCCGCCCCCATTAAACAAATGTCCAGTTCAGACGACGTATTTCTTACTGAGTGACTTCCACGTCCACACAGACAGCCGCCGTCTGTCGGCGGACACAGCTGACCGCCGTTAACCCAAACATCTCACGGTCAGAGCTCATTTACACTCCACCAGAGCCGGGGGGGGGGGGGGCACACCTCCCCCCGCAGCCTCTGGAAACACCTTAGAGGTGGGAACATTCTCTCGACTCAAAAGCAATTAATCCTTTAATTCATCTATAAAAAAATCCAGACAACAATGCGCAGTTGTGCGAATTTGTGTGCATACCTATGCCACGATGAATTATCACAACGAATCAGGCTTACTTTGTCTCAATAAAAGTGAAGATTTATTGGCACTAATTGAAGGAAATATTCCTCGACTGAATCTGGAAAAGGTCTTAGCTATACAGTATATTTCAAGAGTTCACCAAACGCTCACACACACTTTTCACCTCCACGGCGCAGTGTGTAACACACACACATGCCCACTGGCACACACTCTGTTCCTCACACTCAGCGGTGGCAGCGGTGGTCAGCGGCTCCTCGTTAGTCTGCTTCGCAGTGAGAAATGTTTCCTCGTTCACGTGGAGGTCAGCATGTTGAAGTGATCCCAGCCAGGAGCCAATGACGTGTTTTCGCCTCGTAATGAATCCCGTTCCCGGCTCCTGGCTGTGACCACGGTCTCACCTGCTCAAGAACCAAAATGCCACCGATGTGCCCGAAAATGCGGCTTAAAACAGAAACTTGGCCATGTCTACCTCACATACAGTGGGGGAAATAAGTATTTGACCCCTTGCTTATTTTGCAGGTTTGCCCAGTTACAAAGAATGCAACGATCTATAACTTTAACCATATGTACATTCTAACAGTGAAAGACAGAATCCCAAAGAAAATTCCAGAAAATCACATCATATGAATTCATAAAAATTGATAACCATCTGATGAAGAAAAACAAGCATTCTTTGTAAGTGGGCAAACCTGGAAAATCAGCAAGGGGTCAAATACTTATTTCCCCCACTGTAGCTGCTTCTGGGCTTTCATCTACATCTACAAGGAGGGTTCCAATCATCTAAAATCAATTCTTATTACCTGCATATCAGAGTTAGAGCATACAGTTCTCCTTAAAGAGCTGTAAAAACTATCAAAACTTCAGTCAAGTGTATCAAATACTGATTCAGAAATCTGATGCTGCTTGCCATCCACTGTTGTAGCAACTGATCCTGAAAAAGCAGGAAATAGTCTAAGTGTGAGACTGAACCATGTAAAGATGTGCTTACGTTCAGTCTTTGTTGTTTAACAAAGACTCAGATCAGAATCTTTATCAATTTTGCTGAACAAAATCGGGATCAACTCAAACTCTTTTGGTTTTCACCGTGTGTTTGCATGTGTTCTCTCTGGGTACTCCGACTCAAAACTGCAAAAACCTCCATCTTATGGTAATACTAAATTGTCCAAAGTGTGTGTGTGTGAACATGCGTGTTTGTGCATCTCATTTATCTCGGAGTGATGGCCTGATGACCCATCCCGGGTGTAGTTTGCTTCCAGTGTAAACTGGGACGGGCTCCAGCTCCCTGTATCCAGAGCTGGATTAAGAAGATTATGAAAATGGATGGATGGATTTTTTTTTACTAATCTTAGCTACTTCAAATATTTTCCTTTTACACGGATGCTTACTTTGTAAAGCAAATAGAAGTGACTTTAGGCCCCTGAGCTTTTTAAAACGAGACGACGAAACTCAATCTAAAGAAAAGGCGGAATTTTACTTTTTTTTTTATTGTACGATCTTGATCATTTCCACAAACACTGTGCAAACATCCATCCTCCTGCCGACATGTTCCACATTCTCCTCCGCTGCCACTCCTTCATCGGGCTCCAGTCGTTTGGCTCATATTGTGTTGATTTAACTGTGGGCTGGAGTCTGTTTTCAACAGCCGCGCTGCTGGTTCAGCTGCGCAGATAACCAGAGCTGCGGTCTTGACCTGGCAGGAAGAAGGATGGCCAGGTTATTAATCTTCACTTCACCGCCACAGCATCTTTAATAAGAGGGAGTCGTTTGGGAGTTCCAACCTCTGCTCCGTTACAAATCTGGGGCATAAATATTTTGATTTTTTGTCTCCTCGCACACCAGCTCGATGTCTAATGCCCTCGACATTCCTCCTCCACTTCTTTTTGATTTAGGGATTTAGAACACTTCACAGGAAATCTTTGTATTTGAATGTGAGTATAAAGCAATATAACATGTTTAACAAGGTTATCACAGGGATTTTAAAGCTGAAGGCAATTGTTTAAACCCACTGTGGAGCCGTGGGTGGTTTTATTTGGGTCTCTACCATAACTTTCCTGAAATGATTGGACGTTAGACAAGCATTTTTTTTCACCCTTTTGGCTTCTGAGGGATCCTATTCTGACATGCTTATGTTCAGCTCTGTTTTGGCAGCGGATTTATACCGTCAGGAATCTACGGAAGCCTCCAGTTGACAACATGACATGGAGGAAGTTCATGGGTCAGTCATGAAAACATCTAGAGTAATATATAAATCCAGCAATGTTATTAGTCACCACTTTTTTTTTTTTTTTGGCCCTGCTTCAGATAGTCAGCCTTATTTTTTTTATAGACTGAGAAAAAACGTTGTCAACCGAGCATTTCTTTTTATTTGTCTGTCCATTTTATTCCTCCTCTTCCTCCTGTTTGGGATTGCTGGGGGTCCGTTTCGATCCTGTACAAAAAAGGCTAGAAATAGCCCCACTGGCCCACCACAGAGAGACAATTTAGAATCACTTAGAGCAGCAACACAATAAAAAACTTCATTTATGCTGACAGACTCAAAACGGCCCACACTCTTTATTATTGTGTTTACTGACGTGTTTGCTGGTTTGTAACCCACCTGGGAGCCACAATCCCTCCTCCACTGCTTTTAATGGGAAATGATTCTGGGCCGGTGCATTGTTTTCCTTTTATTTTACCTTCAGTATGAACATTTTAGTGTGTTTCATCACAAGACAGGCAACATGCACACTCGCAATCACTCCTAAGGTCAAATACTCAAATACTTAATAATTAAATATGCATTTTTTTGGATGAGAAGAGGAAGATAGAGAACCACCCACACTTAAATGTTCCATCCTGAATCTTTTTCTTCTTCTTTTTCTGGTGCAGTCATAGCCTGAGCTGCTGGACATCATATACCAGCTGGTTTGACAACTCCATTAGATGTTCTTTGTGTGTTTTTGTATACCCAAAATCCGTATTGCCTTGATCAAGTCATCATTCCGTGCCGCTTTCCCATTGGTTGATTTGTAGTTGTAGGCCGTAGCGACTTCCACACTGCAGGATCGGCCTCCTAAGAATTTTCCAGGGTCTTAAATTAGTTTAGGCTGTCTTTGGTTGCAAAACCTGAACAATCTTGGCCTTCGAATTCCTCTCCATGTCAGATGTGGAAATGTGGGCTGGACGGAGAAAGCTTTCATTGCACAAGGAAAACCATGTAAACGTCTCACATATTTCCACTTCAGAAGCAAACTGCGATCCACACAGGTCGACAATGTCCAGAGATTTTTTCCTGGAAAGAGGGGGGCCATGTTCGTTCGTGGTGAGACTAAAGCTAGTCAGATCCAAGCTGTGAGACGCAAGGAAACACAATATATCTGCAAAAGTGTTCATCAAATTAGCCTTCAAAAGTGGAAATGTGTCAAACAAGACAAGCAATATGTCAGCAGCTAAAAAAATCAGAATACCCTTTATTCATGACCATTTTATACATTGTATTTTGAATATGCTTTTGTTAATAATGACGTTAGAAACAGCATGCACTATTTCTATAGAAGAATTTGAGTTTAAAAGTGTTTCATTTGAGTGAAATACGTGCAAATAGAGATCAGGACATCTTTTTTAATGACTCTCACTCCATGTTTTCATTTAGCAGAAACAGCTGCTGAATGCTGCTTAAGTTTTGGAATAAAGAAGAGTGATAGAATCAGATTAAAACCAAGCAACAGCCTGAATTTCACCCACAAAAACCTCTCAGCACACAAATCAAGTCAAATCAAGAGATCTCCCCTCTTTGTGTCTTTCAGTCGTTTGGAGAATAAGGTTCAGATGCTGGAGTCTCGGCAGAGAGGAGAGCTGGAGGGCATGAGGGAGGAGAAGAACAGACTGCAGGTAGGGTTAGTTAAAGTGACATGTGTGTGTTATTTTAGCACGGCAACATCATCAGCAGGGGATTGTTTGGACAGGTGTCTGTGTATGTCTTCAAATTAATGGTGTCAGGGCTGGCTGAGGCAGGTCATTTGGGTCATTAAATCATGTTTCAGCACGGGTTTTACATTCATAAGGCCGTATTTTACATTTATAAGCTCGAGCTTTCAGCGTATTGGATGATGACGGATGAGAGTTGACCTCATAGGTGTAAATCATACAGTTGCAAGCACGCAGATTACTTTTTTTTAAAACAATTTCTGAAGTTATTCAAACAAATTTAGTCTGACTCAATTCACATGCCTGTAGTGTAGATCGTCAGACATCAAAAGTACATTTTCCAAATGAATTGATAAGTGAAATGCATGCCAGATGAGGATAAAACGATCCAGACCCACGCATGCACGGATAGAAACTGTACAGACCCCCTTAAACAAATTCCTCTGTCGATAAAACACTTAGGAACTTTTTTTTTTTTTTCTCTCTTTCAGTCCCTGGTCAGGGAGCAGATGATGGCCATAGAGTCTTTGGAGAGGCAGCTTCGAGTGGCCAGCACCAACACCACGGCCCTACAGAGGCAGCAGAGCCAGCTGATGGAGTCTTTCCACAAGCTCATTAACATGGTGACCAGTCCTCCAGGTACACGCTGACCGGGCACGTCTGTGACTTGTCAAGAGCTCGTTCAGAGCCGATCGCGTTACGCGTTGTGGTGTCGCCGTCCGCAGGGTCCCCTCCCCGAACCCAGATGTGGAAGGACTGTGCAGATGCCTACAAAGCCGGACACGCCGTCAGCGGTCTGTACCACATCTACATCGGCAACAGAACCGAACCGGTGCAGGTACATTTGGGTTTATTTCAGAGTACAGCTTCAAACTACACCGAAAAATTATTTTTTTATGTATGGAATTCAATTAACTTCTCAATACTGATTAATCAATGCAACTAAAAAGGTATATCCTTCGATTATCTATACTGATAATTGACAAAATGTTGAAACAAAATCAAATGATTACTTCATGAGTATTAATTATAAGGGAATATGTGTTGTTTGATTAGCGAACTCCACACTAAAGTTTGTAAAACTGATAAGACACCCTCAGAGCAGAAAGATATGACAAGCAATTGTCATTCACATTTATCAAATTAACTAAAGATGGTACTGAATACGCAAAAAAAAAACAAATTAAGGCAAGATGGACACTCTCAAAAAGTGACAAAATGTTAAAAACAGCATAATTGTTTTTCCCAAGTAATCACGTGAATTTGGTCAAAATTGAATTCCTTAAACTGCTTAAACTCAAAAAAGTAGTTTTGCCCTGGTTCAATATTCTTGAAATAGTATTGCAACTCTATTCATAGGATTTAGCATTTAGATTTGATTCTAGTCTAAAATCTAAAGTTGTGTAGAAAAGTTTTGGTATTTGTGCTGACCATAAACACTGAAATGAGCAGCCTTGAGTTTTAGTTTTTTTATACTACTTTACATGTAATATGTTAGGACGCATACATTTTTCATACTTTTTGCATTAATGCTATTAGCTGTAACAACAGACCAGTTAAGCCTCATTTCACACGATCCAGCAGTGTCTACGATCGGATGATGAGTTGAATTTCTCCCCGTTTGAAGGTGTACTGTGACATGGAGACGGGCGGGGGGGGCTGGACAGTCTTCCAGCGGCGCTTTAACGGCAGCGTGGACTTCCAGAGGAGCTGGAGGGAGTACAAAATGGTCAGTTCATTCCAACGTGAGAGCAATTCATGATGATAAAAAAAAATAGGAATGTCAAATTTGAGCAAAATCTGTTTGTGGCCCCGCCTGACCCACTCACTCCCACTGCAGGGTTTCGGGGACGTGCTGGGAGAGCACTGGCTGGGCAATGAGCTTTTACACCAGCTGACCACTCAGACCCAGTACTCTCTGAGGGTGGAGCTGAGGGACTGGGAGGGAAACTCTGCCCACTACCAGTACGACCGATTTACACTGACCAGTGAGACACAACAATACAGGTAACAGCCGCAGTACACACACTAAGGTTTCCTTTTTTTTCAATTCCTTTAAATGCTGTAAAAATTTGAGGTAAAGAGCTTGGTTATTTACAGTGTCTTTAAAATGTGAATGGCATATTATCCAAAATTTTAAAGGTTCTGTGCAAAATAACATTTATAAATGACTTTTCCCAACATTTTTCCACCTAAATCACCACCCCCCCAAAAAAAATAATAATATGAAATAGCAGTTTTTTGCATTGAAAATCTTGAACACATTTTTAGTCTTCACAGGTCTTCAGTTCAAACACCAGACTATGTTTGATCTTGACTTGTAGATGAATGGGTCCATTAAATGATTAATAGATTAATTTGCATGGCTATTCTCAGCTGTTGTTTTTGCCTGAGCCATTTGAATTGCCTTTGCGTATGAAAGACAAATACATGTCTGACCCAAACAGAGACACGAATGTAGTCAAACACACATATTCACACCACCATACTGCAGAGATTAGCTAAATATTTAGTATTTACACAAATATTTTCTTTATTTATCAGATTAATTATTTGGTGTCTTCTTTATTTCATCTTTAGATTGTATTTGCGAGGTTTCAGTGGAACGACAGGGAGGCAGAGCAGCCTGACCTCTCACGGGGCCGCATTCAGCACCCGGGACCAGGACAACGACAACTGTGACCACTGCAAATGTGCCCTGATGCTGACCGGGGGTAAACCTTTCCCACTTCCTTCTTTAGAGTACAGCAGGTCTTGGTCAGTGTTCAATATTTGATGAATCCAGTCTTAAAGATGAAGACATTGGTGATGACACAAAATTACTAAATTATCTTAGTTTTTGTGAATATGCTCTGTTTAAATTAGCTGTTTCTTCGCTCCGATCTGTAAAAGTTTGGTCTGATCTCTAAATGTTTATCAAATTCAATGACATGATCAATTAGACTTATTTGACTTGGGTAAAGAAAAGACCTATTTTAATGGTTGAGTATGAAAATTTGTTGTTTCCTGAAAGCTTGCTTTTGTCAGACATCCGTCACTGTCCCCCCCCCCCCCAGTGCGCTGCCCTCCACCTTGAGCCAGTTCCAACACAAACAACTCGTTGGTTCTCCTCAGCCTCCTACTCAGTGGGTTGTGATCTCCCATTAAGTTAATAGTTCCGAACAAATCTGGAGCTCTCGGGGGGGAATCGCTCCAGTGATACCATTTGTCAGTGAGTCATTTAAAATCGCAGCAATTTACTGACACACAGAAAAAGTTGGGACACAAAGATAAAGATAAGTGATGTTGAGAGCAGAGAGCAAAGAAGGATCACTGAGGGAAGGAAGGACAATGGTGTCAATCGATGGAAATTACACCCAAAATTAAGACTAATAATTGAAAATAATAAGGGCGTCAATCGGAAACCACACTGCTTCAGGGGGACAACAGAGCAATTTTCAGACATGTGTCCCAAAGTAAGTAAACGGTCTCAATGGATCCTTCCATCTACATTTGTGCTGTTTCCATGAGTCACAAATAAGCCTTTTCAAATGCTTAGAGAGGATTGTCAGTCTTGGATATCCCATTATGACACAGTTTTAGGAATGCGTGAGCTCACAGCAGATGTCACCGGTTCAACGTGAAGCCCTCATTTGTACAATAACCACATCATTTGGCCTTTTCTTGCTATTTAATTGCAATAACATTTATGCAACGAGGCTGCCTCTTAAAGTAGTCTAAGAACAGATTCAACGAAAACAAAACGGTAATCTTACGTCGACTGGGTCCAGTTAGTTATAAAGTTTTTTTCCCACATATTCTAAGTTGCAGTTTCAGTTTGCATGCCTATCTGCCTCTGCCAATACATTTAGTTTAAACAACTCATAAGAGTGACACGTGTAAATATTCCCACATTCGGCTTATTTTCAGCATTCAGACCATTCAGTCCTAACTAAGTATGGACACCTCTCCACAAACATGTTGTTCACTCCAGCTTCTCCCTTTTGAGCTGTGATAGAAGAATATAAGTTTAAAATCTGCCGTCCGATGCCATGCTTCTAACTCACTCAATTTGTCTTCCTATTAGGTTGGTGGTTTGATGCCTGTGGTTTCTCCAACTTGAACGGGATCTATTACTCAGTGGGCCACAACATCAGGAAACTCAACGGCATCAAATGGCACCACTTCAAAGGCCCCAGCTACTCCCTGAGCGCCACCGCCATGATGGTGCGGCCCTATGACTTCTAACAACACCCCTCAGTCTTCATAATGGCTCGAACCATGACTTCTAACAGCAGTGTTTCAATTATATGTTGGTACAATCCCATCGCTCATGACCTCCAAAACCCCTCACCAGCTCAAAGCAACACTATGGTACAACCTGAAATCTCCCTCTGGAACAAACATGGTACAGTCCTGGACCAGTCATCTGGTGAAAAGTCCTGTTGGCCTTTGTTCTTATTGCCTTTTTCTGATCCTTTAATGAACCAAACAAACCGAAAAAAAAGATTTTGTCACAGCAGCATATATAAATCAACCTGCCATTTGAAGAATGAAAAGAAACCAAGAGGGCAAAGTTCAAACCCAGATTTCCCCTTCATGGGCTTTTACATTTGGGGATGGCTTAAAGTACGCTCACAGTTTCTCCATTAAAAAAAAAGGGAAAGTTAAATGAGCTCTAACTTAATGTCCTATGTAGAAATAATCAAATCCCTCCTGCCAGCCTCCTCCTATTTGACTCCAGTGAAAGTCTATGGTCCCTAAACACCAACATTTTGATGTAAGAAAACAATATCAAAGCACATTATGAGCCAGCAAAAAAAAAAAAATGGATACCTAAAACTGGAAGTGGTGAGGTCTTGATCCTGGTGAGGAGCCTGGCAGCTAAGTTGTGTACAGTATGGAGTAAACGAAGAGGTTTTCCATTGAGGTGAACGGCAAGCGTTATGCACTATTGAATGCACGAAGAGATAAAAGGACATGGAGTGGTCTGTGTCTGTTCGACGTTTGGATATCTGTGTTTTATCTGTGACGGCGAAACAACGGTCGAGTTAGCTTTTTTTCAGTCTAAACTCAAATTACCACAAAAACAGAGAAAAGGATTCCTCACAGCAGACAGAATTCTGTCGATTAGCATATTTATAATATACCTGCTAACATTTTATTTAATTAGTTAATGAAGTAATCGGCTGGCAAATAGCTAATGAAATCTGTTATTTGCTGTGCACGGTGCTGGTAGTTAGCAGAATGAGACTGTCCTGTTGTCTGTGGACAGCCAGGATCGTGAAATGATGACAGGCATCAAGAACAAAGAGAAGACGCGTGGATATTGAAAGCTGACCCTGTTGATAGACCAGATCAGCTCTAAGGACTTCACACAGGAGGAAGTGACTCTTTCTCCATGGTTTGTGGTTGGCTTTCATGGTCATGAAGACAGGGGGGAAATAAAAGTCCTGTGCAGGAAGACTGAGCACGGACCGTGTTTTATTTTGCAGACTCAAACACACAAATCAGGAGTTTTGTTTGGGAGATGCGCAATCAGAAAAATGGACTTTTATCGCATCTCAAACTCTGCAAACTGTGCACAGTTTTGAACATCCACATCTTTGTTCAGAATCAATTTAAACCCCTGGATAATGGAATGGTGGTTTAAAATGAAAACTGCAAGCCGGAAAGACACTGAGCGTCACGGTTTTCAATATAATGTTGGAAGAAATGGCGAGCCCTCATAAAATTTGTGTGGAAAAGTGATTGCATTTTTAAATGTGTTACTGGACATTAAAGAAAAGATCGAGTCTAAGGAGGAAAAACGCAAATGAACTGAACAGAGTGCGGCTTTTTCCTTGTTTTTGTTCTGCAACCATTTTGAACATTGAATGGGAAAAGAAAAAAACAAGCTTTGGATGTTTTAATGCCTTAAGATCCCAATTCTGAAACAAATAAATGCTGCTTTGAATATTTTCCGAATGTAAAAAACTGGTTCATTTTCATGTTTTTTGTATCCTGTTATGGGCTAGCAATCAATACTTCAGTGGCAATAAATGAGTTAGAGGACATATGTTTTACTTATCAATGAATTGCTTTGCTAAAGTCGTCATTTGTACTGTCTCACTTTGTCTTGTGCACTCACGATTGTGTCTTATTTGAGATTTATATTGTGATTAAAGTGAAAAAATGTGGAAAGCAACTCTTCCTGAAACAGCCAGTGCTCTGGCACCTTTCCTGCACCATGTTTCGTGCTCCTCAGTGTGCTGGTTTCATTCCTTATAAAAAAAACCTGCTTTCTAGTTTGGATTTGACAACATTTCAATATAATTTGCAAGACAGGCCAACAATGAATGACTGCGGGCGATATGGACGGCACATACAAGATCACAAAGTAATAATGTTGGCCTGTGATGTAAACCGTTGGAGTAACACCTCAGAAAATTGAGGGAATATAGCTATACTGGGGAACTGTTGGGGAAACATTTCTTTCCTTTATTGGCTGCCTCTAGGTCCAACATCTGCTTATTTTTTTCCTGTCCGTGTGTGGGCTCTTCCTGGGCTCCATCGCCCAACAGGCACATTCGCTTAATGAACGATCCTAAACTGGCCCGTGGAATTAGTGAGCGTGCATGGTCGTTTGCCCATCTCATCCAGTGGCGGTTGGACTGGCTCAAGCCTCCTCCAACTCTGAATTGTATTGCCTTGGGTGGAAAATGAATAGCTTGATGAATGGCCCAATGTCAAGGCATAAACCTTAATTGAAAAGGTTTTCAACCTCCAAAATGATCTGATGTCATTCACACATGCACGTTATTGTCTACTTTGCTTGCATATTCCCTTCTACTCCATGAATTTTTCCACTGAATGATTGTTTAAAAAGAAAAACTGTCTGCAGTTTTCCATATTGAATGTGTGTGTTTTGATGGCACAGAGTAAGTTCTTAACAGCATCTGAAGGACTCATAAAAGCCAAAGAGAGCACATCTATGGAGGCATATAGCACTTCCTATCTGCTCTTTATTGTGCTATTTGTATGATGCACCTGTTACATTTTCCAGGAAGTAATACTTTGTGTTCAGGAAGAAGACCACGGTGGGTTTAATATGCCTGAGGTGTGGCTGTTTGGGAATGATGCACATCAGGCCAGACACTTGGGATTGTCATGACAGAAAAAATAATCCAGTTTGACTTGCTGTTTGACTTTAAACTGCAAGTTACACTCACAAATTAAAATGACAAACCCAGATTTTAAACTTGGCATGCAGCATTCGATGAATGAATAAGAAATAGTTGTGCTTCATGGAGCAGCATCAACCCAACAGTGACCAATGCTCCATGTAAGATACAGGTGGTTATCAGTGGTCACTAAAGAAATGCCAAATTGTAACAGTGCCACAGCAGATCTTTTAATACATGTTTTCAGTTTTATTCTGTCTGTTCATCACTTACTTTCATTACTTTTTGGCAGCCAAAAGTCTGTAGGCTGAGCACGAACAGCAGGAAACCCCTAACTTAGCACGTACAAGGAGAAAAAAAGAATAAGAAGCCAAACATTTCTGAGGCTCATGAACCAGGCAAGCAATTAAAATGTATGTGGGTGGCCACCATGCATCCAGTTCTCTGGAAAATATCTGCAGAGTTTGCATTATCATGAAAGATTGACAGTTATTCCCAGATAGAGTAAAAAAAAAATGGGAAGACATAAGACAAATATTTGTTACCAAGGTCTCATTTAAACAGATTAAAAGGGGTATTTGTAGAAATAAATGGCTTAATTGGAATTATTGTTGTAATTTTTATTGAATTTGACTCATCATATGAGTACAGTGATTAGTGGAAAAATGCCAAGATAGAGAAAACAAGCCACTAATTCTCTGTTCCAATGGCAGCAACTATACCAACACACTTATACATACATCCATTATAACATTTAAAATACCAATTGTGTTCATAACTGTTATTTACTATTTCCCATGGTCAGTGTGAGGCTGCAAGGAGTCTAGTCGGTTGCCTTTACCTCTGTTGCCTCACATCAATAGTTTTTTCAAAGCTAGGCATCTTTGTCCACTTCCTGTATTTCCTATAATTCAAAATGGTAAATGTACTATGCTTGTGCAGTGCCTTTTCAGTCTAGCTTGACCCTCAGAGTGCTTTAAACTACATGTCGAATTCTCTCATTTGCTCAGACAGCATGCTTTATATAACTGATTTACTGATGGCTCTGCTGGTAGGCCACGTGGGGTTCGGAGTCTTTCCCGAGGAGGCTTCAGCATGTGTCTGTGGGAAGCCAGGAATTGAAATAAAACTTTATAATTGATACTTAACTTGTAATAGTTTTATTTTATAATTAGCTGTAACAATCCATAGGTTTCATAAAATATTGATGCGTTACAAGCATTTGGCTGATTAAACTTTGCAAATACTATACTGTGCCGCCCTCTTCAGTCAGTTTGAGGTACTACAATATGTATATATTGTGCTTGTAATGAAAAGTGCTCTTGATTATGGACAAAACCACGTATCGCTGGCACACCCTTACAGTTTCAATCAGAAATGAACGAGATAATTACGAGATAGAAATACATTTTATTATGAAATGACAAGGCAGGAAAAAAAATTACTTGTAGAGCTCCTAATTAATTAAAATATTTTTCAGAATACCAAATGAGACTGATCAAGCGGCGTAAAATAAGATTGATAGTTTAAAGGTCAATAGATAAATAAACTGAGGGGGGCTGAAATATTGTAAAAGGATGGCGTATTTATTATGTCCTTTTTTTATTCTAGGACTTTTGTCCCTTCCCGGATCCCCTAACAGTATCTTCCGGTATAGGTGAAACACAGTTGAAGTGAGCTAGCGGTTTGTGAAGGTCGTGAGTCCTCCTTGTGAGTATCTCCTTGAAAGTTAATAGTTAAGCGTATTAGGTTAATTTCATTTGAAATCTGTTAACTTTTTATATCGATAACAACACCTTTAACGATCAAACTTTACTTAAATTGACTCATTTCTCACACCCTGACGCGGTATTGTTAGCTATTAGCTCTTGTTGACCGAGCTAATGCTAGCTCATCCGCTCTCCACAATTAGCACGTTGCTAATCGAAAGTTTATGTCAGCGGTTAGCCTAAATTATTGTAATACTTGGGTTGGCATTGTTAATCATGGAAGGTATTCTTTTATGGACGATTAAATTGGCCTCTCCCTCATGTTGTGCGAATATTGCGCTAGCTAGCGGCGTTTTGACCTGTATTGGTATTAAAGCATAACTTTACTTTTGTATATGTTAGTAGTTGTTGATATGCATTGTATGTGATTTTTCACTGCCAGACATATTTAAATTGTGTCTCTAAATGCACAAAACTGTGTCAATTTCTATTAGAGACCTTCACGTTGTCACAAACGGTCACACTAGTGAATGTTGACCTGACTACCTGACTTGGCAACCGTACAGGATGGCGATCTGACTTTAGACTCGTTCAATTGAACTTGAAAAACATTTGCTGGTTAAGTTTGAATTTATCTGATCTTTAAATGATACCGCAGGCATTGTACTTAATAGACTAGCAACACCTTGATTAAAAATATTTGCACAAACCTTGTTTTCATATCTGTTTCTATCTGTTTTCTTGAGGGTTCCCTCAAAAAACCTGGAATTCATATGATATTAGTATTTTAGAAGACATTAAAAAACATTATTCATTGTTTTAAAAAAGACAATGATTAAAGAATTTAGTCTGTATATAAAGAAATTCTTAGTGGAAGTGTACACGATTACACAGAATTTTTTTTACTAATTTTCTCTGCAGGTGATCCACCATGTCTCTTCCAAAGCCATTGATGAGGGGGATGCTGGCAAAGCGTCTGAGGTTTCACTTGCCCATTGCTTTCACTTTGGCTATAGCTTCTGCGATAGCCTTCAAGGTGAGAGGAGGACACGTCCACGGCTCCAGCTCCAATTTGTGCTCATTGTGTTCAGTGAGGTTGGGGGTGTGGACACACAGAGATCAACAAGTATTCAAAAAGAACAGATGAAATTTAAAGATTTTTTGATATTGCTCTATTTTTATACATTAAGTTAAAAGGCAGTGTGAACATATAAATGGTTTGTGAGCAGAAAGAACTGAATGTCATAGAATTAGGTTTTGTTTGAACTCTTCTCATGCAGAGTAAAGCGGTGAGCTGGTAGGTCAGCTTTATTGAAAACAGCACTGCAGAGCTCCTCTACAGACAGGCTGCTGCATCCCAGATGAACAACAGAGCTTTAATGTAGATCGTTCCTCTCAGCTGCTGCTAGACTCCATAAGCAGCGGCGCTCCCAGCAGACCAAATAAACACCATAAATACCTGCTGCTTTAGCACACACCTCCATATTTATAGTCATTAACAGTTTTTTGTACAAATAAAACTACACTTTTTGTAAATTTATACAATTGTACATTTTAGAATATAAAACTGTGTTTACATGTTTTTATAGTTTCATTTTCCTATTTATTTTTTTATGTATGTATTTCTTACCTTTTTTGCTTCTGTGACTTCACTGCTCACGCACACAAATTACCTCACAAATTATTCTGTTCTAAAGACACAGGGAGTCTGCAGCAACAGTGTTTTTAACATCATAAATATTTACTACATGTTCACACGCACAAATAACTACAGAGCAGTTGTGAAGCAGAAACTGATTAAATTCTAAAACATCCTTCAGTCTGCCACGTGTCTGATCTGCTAAAGCAAAGACCATACTAAACCTCAGCAAACGTGGCATCCTGAATGTCTGCAGACCCCGTTTCTTCAGCTCTCTTAGGAGCTAATTACAGAGGTTTTGGTTCAGGAACATATTTGTTTTTCCTTTGTTCCTTCTCAAGAGATTTCTCGCTTCATGAAGTGTGTTTTATACATAATTAAGTGAAGGGTATTTCTGCTTCTCACTTCCAAAAGAACGACACTCCAGTTGTCACACATGTAAGATGCCAATTTGTATGTTTGGATTTCATGTCAGACCAAATCGGTTTATTACATGCATGGAGTTACCTGACTTGTACTTGCCTTTTAATCATTGAAATGATCATCTTTTACTTGAAGCTGTTTCGGCTCAAAATGTAAGTGAACTTGTATTTCTTCCAGTACGCGGTGACAGAGCCCAGGAAGCAGGCCTATGCTGAATTCTACAAGCATTATGACGCAGTTAAAGAGTTCAACTCCATGAGGGAAGCGGGCATCTTTGAGAGTGTGCGGCCCTCCGGGGAGTAAAGCCACCGTGAGTCTCCCAGTTTTAATGTAAACCCAAAGCATCGTTTTTGGTCGAACTGGCTGGATCTGAGGCTAAATGTGCACGTTTTCTCTTCACCAGCTCTGCTGTCCTGTCATTCATTCCTGGTCCAAAGATGGTTCCTTCTCCCCACTTTTGATGTTTACTGATGAGATGTGAACATCACTGTGCTGTTTTTTCCTCTGAATAAAATAAACTATTCTATTAATGAGTCTTTCTGTCTCTGTGATGTTTATTGAAATGAAGCTTACAGTTTCCACTTTATGTGTAACGTTATCAATATTAGTGGTTTAACGGGAATATTGACAGTGTAATTGTACCATCTCATATCACATTTTCAGCAAGACTGATGATGGAGGACTAGAAACTAGTTTGACCCCCCCCCCCCTCCATTGTTTAGACCAGGGGTTTGAAACTCCTGATGTAGATGCTGCCCCTGCTTTAACACACCTGATTTAAATCATTGTGAAGAACTTGGCCTTTTGAAGAGATCCGTTTAACTTGTGGGCATTGAATCAATGTTTTTTAATAAATAAATAATACACTGTCAGACATTTCCAAATACAAACAATTTTGAATGTGTTTGACCTAATTCATACTACGTCGTCTGCTAATTACATGAATAATTATTCCTGTAATTGGCGGAGGAACCGGTGGCGCCCCCTGCCGGCGGCCCCGGAGCAGCGCAGCCTTTGTCCGCGCCGCCTTCCTGCCCGCCCCTCGCTGCACTTCCTGCTTTTCTCAGGTGGGTGTCACGGCGGCTGCCAAACGCCTTCCAAAGTTGTTCAGACGCGGGAGGAGGATGTCCCACACGGCGGGGATAACGCACCCGGGCTAACCCCGTTCTGTGTGTGTTCACTCCGTTTTTAGAGAATGGTTGAAGGACGTTGTGTTTTCCAGGGCCACCGGGCGGCAGCGGGTCCGCCGGCCGGGACGGTGCTGTGAAACGGCGGGTGAGCTGCTGCTAGCCTGCTAGCCTGTTAGCCGCTACTGTTAGCCGCTACTGTTAGCATCCACCGGCTACTTGACGCAGACCACTTCGGTTCAAGTTTGAATCCAGTCCTCATTCAGAAAAGGCCGGGCCTGCCGAAGCGAGACGACATGGGGGATAAGGAGAAAGTGCAGATGAGGAATCCCAATCGCAGGTAAAAATTTATGGATAAAAACACATCTTAGACATCAGGAATCTTGTTTATTTTGATGGAGCGTTAGCTTTTCGTTAAGGTGAAGTTACCCGCCCGCAGCAACTTACTGTTTCGTGAGTAAATGGGATCACTAGACACATCCTAGTTGGCAAAATTTAAATGAATTAGAATAAAAGTCAAAGCAGAATATATTCTCAAATTATTTTTTTTAAATAATTTTTCTTCATGGTGGCCCTTAAGGTTGTTGGTTGAGTTTCTTGCTGTCATCCATCAGTAGTCGTTTTATTTCTCTTATGTTATCTTAAAGCTATAAATTTAGTTAAACGTCTTTCATATTTGGGTAAAGTTTAACTGAAAGTTTAACTAAAACTGTTTATTTCTGTTAGACTTTAGTTTCTCTCTAAAGTCTCTCTTCAACTTCAGCTGAAAATCATTAAAAACCTGGGAAACCTGTTATTTATCCTTTAAGTCAGTCCATGAAGTGTGAAAGACTTTAGGATAAAATCTTAGTATGAGAGATCTAATCCTAGTTTCTATCGACGGATACTGAAACTAAGTATTCATGAACTCTCAAAGAAACACACCAACAGGCCAATTTGGTCATTTTCCTTTGGTAGTTTTAGTCTCCAGCCCTGTGAGGACATGGTGCACTCATTAAATGCCCATCGTGTTGAAGAAGCTCAGAGCCTTTGTGGATATATTATGTCAAATCCCAGAGCTTTCCTCCATCAAAGGCTCACTGATCCCGTCTAATGCCCTTAAGTCTGCCCGTGGATCTCGGTTTAGCTGCTTTAATCTTTTACTGGCTTAACAAAATCTGCCCAGAAAAGTACACACTCATTCAGTGACTACCAGAGAATGGAAAGGTTTGTGCGACATTGGTTGCGTACATGCGGCATCAGAGACCACATTTAAAAAAAAAATAAAAAAATGAGGCCAATGGAAATGGTTCTGTTTGAAACAAAAAATCATTTAAGTGGGAGTTTAATGTTTCCTAGATCTTGTCAGATTGTGTGTGCACCACTCTAGCTTTTCAGGGCTACACCTGCTGATTCTGATCTAAATTTATCTGAAAGTAATTATTCCTTTAACCACATTAACAACTGATTTTATCAGATGTTGAAAGTGTTTGTGTGCAGTGAATATCTTTCTGCTTCTTGGGACTTCTGTCCCTTTACTTTTATTTTGGGGTTCGGCAGAAGTTCCAGGAGCTGTTGTTGGATTTAGACTCTCAGATTTTGGGGATTTATTTATATTTTTATAGCGTTATTAGTCAGAGGCACTTGCTGAGGAGTGTTAATTATTCTTTCAGCTCTCATCCTCTCTTTAGCTGTCTCTCACCAGCGCTCTGGACGTTGTTTACTTTTCATCTCTGTGTCCTCTTGGTGTTGCGTGGCCCAGCTGTTCTGTGGGCCTTTCTGTCGTTCATAGTGTGGATGTGTTAAAAAAGATGAGCCATTATTGTAAACACAAAGTCAGAATTAAGAAGCCCAGTCAGGTATACTGGCAGCTTATTTAGTGGATTCATTAGCCGGCTGTTGGAGCCAGTTTGTCGGCTCAGAGTGTATTTGACAGAAGGAACTTCGGAGTTCCTTTTCTGTCCACTTACCAGACTCATGCCAGTAAAACGCTCGGCTCTCTTGCTATCATGTCCACTCAGCCACTCGCCGTTTCCTCATCCAGTGCAGTTTGGGGTTAACTGTATCTAGTTCTGACGAAACCAGCCAGACCATGTGCTTCATACCATATCTGAAAAAGCGTGAACCTCTTAGGCTACTTGATAAAAGGAAACTACAACAACCAGAATGTGTGATCAAGTCACTGCTGTTGCTCTTTTTAGTGATCTATTTTTAGTGCTTTGCTTTCGTTTTGAATGTGTCCTGCGTTAAAGCCCTGAACTGAAAAATAAATAAGCTGTGTCGAGCATACAGACTGTGAAATGCTAAGTGCTTTCTGAGTGGGTGAAAAAAACAAGTTGGTGACAATTTACTGTAAAAAAACTGAGCATGTGTATATATGTATAATATATGTTAATCTTATTAAGTGTTTTTAATCCATCTTTTCTGTCCTTTTTGTCTGAGCAGAACCATCTGTCTGCAGCAATTTAAGCCCTTGATCCCTTATAGTTGAAATCTTCTATAAAAGGGGTTTTATCACATTTTCATATTTAGATAAATATAGGACCCTCACAGGAAGATGAGAATCTATTTTAGTAAACTTCTTTCAGTTAAAAAGTCTTTTTGTGGCTGTTTATTTTCTGTGCTCCTAGGTTTAGGGTTAGGGTTTCAAAAAAAGAACTCAGAGAAGCAATTTAAGTATCGTAAGATAAACATTTGCTATTGTTTTTACCAGGCACTCCCAGGGTCCACTTGAAAAGCAGCTTAAGGACTCCGGTGGTAGATTAGGGTTTTCAGGCTCCGCTCTGTCCTCTCTTGTTTTTGGCCAGGTTGGCATGTGGCCGCACCAAGCGGCATCAATTATAAAGGATGGCACACATGTTTCACGGAAAACTGCAGTCCTTCTGAGAAATCACCTCTGTTTGAGTTTCCCAGGTTTAATCTGCTTCAAAGACATCACCCGAAGCCATGTAACATGCGAGAAACACACTGGGACTTTTTGAATCTTGGAAAACAGCAGAATTCACAGCAGAACCCAGAAAACGCTCATGTTCCTTTTACCAGTTTGCTGATTACAGATTGATTCAGGCTTCTGTTTCGTTCAAACATTGAGCCTAAATCCTGCTCCCTTTCACATCATAAAAACTCTAAAGGGAGTCAAGATGAGGAACTGCAGGCAGTTAAAAAGCACCTTTTTGGAGAGCTTTATTGGGCTGTGGTGGGTCGGCTTGCAAAGTCCAGCAAACAGGAGTTCTCTTTCTGGTCAGAAACGCATTGGAGTTGGTTCAGCGCCGCTAGAGTTTTTCTGGTATGGGGCCACAACTTCCAAACTTCTCCCGGTTTATTTTTCTCTCTTAAACACGGATACCACGCCCCTTTAATCTGGCTCGAGTTCCAGCATGAAATGCTCTGTTGGTGCAGTGCTGAAAAAATCTCACCCAAAGGGTTTAGTACATGTCTTTTATTCATTGTGCCATTATTTAGGTGCACGTAGCTGACCACAGATCAGTGCTGTTTACAGCTGAAACAAACTCTTATGTCCAAAAGTAGTTGGTTTTAATCAGATTTCTCACTCAGACCAAAGACTGAATACAAAACAAAAGCAGGTACACCTGAAACACTGTCGGCATGTAGGAATATGAGCAGGCATCCGTTATTTTCTTTGTCACCTTTGTCTCTAATTATCACACCGCTGAGGATGACGGGGCTGAAGCTGCTTTCACAGGCTTTGCCCCCCCCCCCCCGCCCGCAGTCCCATCACTGGAGCTGTCCTTATGCAGTTTGTAATGACTTAATTAGATATTTCCTCCCTCCTTCCTGTCCAGTGGAAGGGTGGCTTGTCACCGTCTGCATCTCGAACTTGTTTGGGTCTATTTTTGTCTGTCTGTGGGGGATATTTTGGTCTCTTGACTTCAAAACTCAGGCGGTTCGGCGGTTATGACGTCTCAGAAGTGAGATCGGCGGGAAAAGGCTCACAAAAAGAACACTTTACTCCAGTTTGATAGGCTGTCACTCTGAAAGTGTTTTTTTTTTATCTACTTCACTGAAAATGGGAAAACAAAGTTAGGACAAATACAAAGAAGGCTGCCGTCAGTCTTACTGATTTCTGATTTCTTTTCTAAAGGTAAAGGAATAAGCTCTGTGATGGAGGGGTGGCTTGTGGGGGGCAGCTGGGGTAGGCTCCAGCCTCCCTCTGATTCAGAATAAATGTGGAAAAATGAATGGATCTGGATGAAATTTGAGTTTACAGGCAAACTGGAGTACCAAGATTAAGATCTCTCTCGTGCTGAGACGTAGAGCGAAAATAATCTGTGGTTTTATCAGATCTTTTAGCCACTTTTGAACTTTTAAACCCGACAGTGTGCCTTTTCGGATGCTCTTCGAAAAACTTCTGCTTTTGTTTGTCTTTAATTTGATAGTTGGGGATGTCTTTATGGCTCAGGTAAAGGTTTTCAGAGACTGTGGACCATAAGCGTGTGAAAGGCTTCAGCCGTTGGAACCCTGCGTTGATTCTCTCGCCTCTGTTGTTCTGTGGTTACAGACAGCTGAAAAAGCTGAGCGAGGACAGCCTCACCAAGCAGCCGGAGGAGGTCTTCGACGTCCTGGAGAAGCTGGGTGAAGGGTGAGTCGGTTTCTTTCCCTCTAGATCTCCGTCTGTGTGCCTCATTTATTTCTCCCTCCTGGTTGGACGATCAGCTCCTCCCTTCCTTGGTGCCTCTGGGTGTAAACATTGCCTCTTCACATCCTGTTTCTCAACGCGCTTCCTGTTCCGAGAGGCTGATTGACAGCGTGTCTGTGTGTGTGTGTTTGTGTGTGTGTGTGTGTGTCATGACGGATGCCAGTCATTTCTTCAGCAACTGACCCGAGAATCCGGCTTTTCCTCTCTTCTCTGCTTTGATTAGTCAATCCTTACCAACACAGGCATGAGAAACACTTTGACTCAGACCAGTTTCCTTAATTTATTTTCATTTTGCGGTGGTGTGTGGAAGTGACCAAACCCAGGCTTTGAACAACAGCTAGAAAAACCGGGTCCAGCAGGAAGGTCTGAACCGCCACATGCTGACAGCTGATAGCTGTTAGTTCCTCATCCTTTAAAGAGCAAGCACAGAAAAGCTTCACAGAACATTGAAATGAACTGAACAGCAACCTGAATGATGCTGCCGGGTGGCTCCAGATCCTGATTAGCTTTTTATTAGATTTTCTGCTTCCACCCTGCCAATGAAATGCATTAATTAATAACCTGGTTTTGCACAATCTCCTGAAAGGACATTAAAAGTAAACTGGTTAGATTTCTATTCAGTCTAATTTTTATTGTCTGATTTCTCTGTAAAGATGAGTGTCGATCCAACCGACCCAACATCTATAAGCGCCAGGAGAGACTCAGTTGAGCCATAAAAAACAGAATATACTCTTCTTTTTAAATCTTTTAAAGCTTGTGTTGAACTCTCTACATGTAAAACTGGTTTATTCTAACGCATCTGTAAAAGCCTTGATGAGAAGTGATGAAATATCTTCATTTTGTGCTTTTGCAGGTCTTATGGTTGTGTATTTAAGGCTAATTATAAAGAAACAGGGGAGATCGTCGCCATCAAACAAGTTCCTGTGGAGTCCGACCTTCAAGAGATCATCAAGGAAATCTCCATCATGCAGCAGTGTAACAGGTGTGTGTGTCCGTGGTTCCAGTCGTAAACCCTCATCCTCAAATCACATAACTTTAAGCGAGACTCTCCAAAATGACTACAAAAATAGTTACCATCACCTATTAAAGTGCTAAAGATGCAGTTTTGGGTATACATTCATCTGTATTACACTGTTTAGTCGGTCCTTTATTCTATCTTGGGCAGATTTGGGGTTAGAAGGTTTCTAATGTCCCTTTGAATGGTCAGAATATCCAGAAAAAAATGCCCGCTGACTGAGGCTGGTTTTCTGTGCTCAGTCCCCATGTAGTGCGGTACTACGGCAGCTACTTCAAAAACAGCGACCTGTGGATCGTCATGGAATATTGTGGCGCCGGATCAGTGTCTGATATCATCCGAATACGCAACAAGACGGTAATGGAATACTCAAACACACACTCCCCGGTGTGTGTGTGTGTGGGGGGGGGGTGGTGTGTTTGACAACATGCTATAATGTAGCATCAGTTCAACTCTGAACAGGTTTTGATGACTTTTGCTGGGGTTTAGATTTCAATGGGAACCCCTGTTTTACATGCAGAGGTTGGTTTAAATAAACAAAAGCCTTTTGGCACTCTGAAGGTGGTGTGGCATCCATCACCCAGCACAGCGTTGTGTTTCGGTTTTTAGCTGCTCCTTTTAAGGTGAGAATGTCTTAGAAAAGCTGCCGCCTCCTCCATCCTTTTCAGTGCGGCTCCCAGCTCGCAAAAGCTCACAAATTTCTCAGGAGAACGCTGTTTCAACAAATCATTTGGGCAGAAACTGCCTTCTTGGTAACCAGCAAGATGGAAAATAAGGTTGTTCTCTATCTTTCTGCTGAGCTCCAGGCAATGACGTCTCATACAGCAATGCAGACAAAGAAAAAGCCTCTCTGTGTTGGCAAAGGGGTCAGAGGCTAACTATTATCCTGGCAATATTAATCACGTAACAGTGAGCCATGTCTTTCAGGCACTGCAAACTGCTCAAAATATATATGTGTAATAAACCTGGAATAGGTGCCACAGCACTTTTACAACAAAGGCCCAGCTGGATGGGTCTGTGCTAATCCGTCTTTAAATGTGGGAACACCTTGTAGCTCACAGAGGAGGAGATCGCCACCGTCCTGCAGTCCACATTGAAGGGTCTGGAATATCTTCACTTCATGCGGAAGATCCACAGAGACATCAAAGCCGGCAACATCCTGCTGAACACGGAGGGTCAGGCCAAACTGGCCGACTTCGGAGTGGCCGGACAGCTCACAGTAAGGAGAAGAACTTATCCCTACCATCTCACCTCGCATGAATCCCAGAAGATTTTTGCCACTGCGGCTCCAGAAATGGGAATGGTTTTCCTTTCATTGCATAATTGAAGCTTGTTCTGGTCCCTTCCTCAGGACACCATGGCGAAGCGGAACACCGTCATCGGCACGCCGTTCTGGATGGCTCCAGAGGTCATCCAGGAGATTGGCTACAACTGCGTGGCAGACATCTGGTCACTCGGCATCACGGCCATAGAAATGGCCGAGGGCAAGCCGCCCTATGCCGACATACACCCAATGAGGGTGAGGAGCAGTTTTTTTGGATTTTATTCAAAACCTCTGTCAACCGAAAAGCTAAATGATGCTTTTCCCCCGCAGGCCATATTCATGATCCCCACCAACCCTCCACCCACGTTTCGGAACCCAGACCTGTGGTCTGAAAACTTTCGAGACTTTGTCAGCCAGTGTTTAGTGAAAAACCCAGAGAACAGGGCGACGGCCACACAGCTGTTACAGGTAACATTTAGCCATCCAGAAGCCAGCGTCCCACCAGTCTGTGGACCAGGCTCCATCTATGGATGATTAAAGGGCCTTTTTCTGAAGCCTTTTTTCACACAGTTAATCTGAACCTGTACTTCAGGGAAACAGCTGTGCTGCATTCTTGGGATTAATTCAGTGTTTTTTTTTCTGCATTTCAGCACCCGTTTATCAAGTCAGCCAAACCCAACTCCATCCTAAGAGCTTTGCTCACAGATGCCATGGAGATCAAACTGAAGAGACAGGAGGAGGCAGAGCAGAGGGAGCAAGACGCAGAGGACGAGGACAATTCGGTACTGACTTTGAGGACTAATGATACCTCTCCACTTAGCGCACGCGTTTGAAAACCGATTCGGCTTCCAGCCTAAAATGTGCGCCCAGAACCATCAGTCTCTGAGCTACGTCCACTCAAAGTAAAGAAGACGTTAACCAGACGTTATAGAATGTGTTCTTTCAGTCAATTCACCTCATCTGCGTTCTTACAGTTTGGCATACGAATGAATTAGCATTGATTCGCTGCTTGTAAATGCACTGCCTTTACGGCTGAAGTTGACCTTTTGTCCATGTTCCAGGATGAGGACGAGGTGGATGCGGGGACGATGGTGCGGGCCGGAACTGGCGACTCTGGGACCATCCGGGCGGCGGGCTCTTTGGCGAGCTCCCTCGGCGGTACGGCCCGGACAATGATCGAGCACGAGGACACGGGAACCATGCAGTCAGGGCTCGGCACCATGGTGATAAACTCGGACGACGAGGATGACACGGATGCCGGTACAATGAAACGTAAGTGCCCATCCGCATCTGGAAACGGACCGGGGTTCCCAAGTTCAGCCACGAGTCGTTCATTACTTTGTACACAGCGGTCGAACGGGGACGAGCTAAAATAAGAGAGTATTCGGTAGCATCTTGCTGCACACTGTGGAGGTTGTCGCACCCTAAAATAACCTGCACCCACACTTCTCCTAAACTGGTGTCCCAAATCACAGATTCCCCCGCTTTCTGTCTCTGCTGAGCAGTCCTATTTATGTGCCTTTATTAGCTGAAATATCTGTTTATCTACGTGGGAGGCCCCAGTCTAAGATGGTCCATTCCTCCATCATAAAACATGAAAGTGTAGGTCAAAAAGCAACCAGATCCAAATAGAAGCATAATGTAAAGCCGCAGGATTTCTGGCGTTGGGGCTTGTGCATACAGCCGGTCAGACAGTGTTTATTTTAGCTCTTTAGATGATTTTCACTGATTTTCTTCTTTTTTTTTCGCGTTTTTGTGTGCATGTTGGATGTTCTCACCACGTGCATGGGAGCTCTCTTTGGGTACTCCCACAGTCCAAAAATAGACTTTTCAGAGTCTGTAAATTGGCCAGAAGAATGAAAGCGTGTGTGGTTGCTGGTCTGTGATGGACTGACCCGTCCAGGTGTCACCACAGTGACAGCTGGGATGGGCCCCAGCTCCCCATCTCCCTACACCAGTACGCTATATGGACAATAGATGTAATAGGTTGTTAAAAAGCAATTGTTTGTCCACCAGGGGGCGCTCTGTGAACACCTCCCGGGTTGCTTGAACTGCATTGTGCGTTTGTTCACGGCATCGTCTCACAAAAAAAGTAACCAATGCTTTCCAAAGTTGTCCGTTTGCACTCGGTAGTCACAAATTGAGGGGATTTCAGGACCCAAATCATGACTCACGAGGGTTCGAATGCGTTTAGACACATGCTGATTTCTCAAGAGGATAGCCTCTAAGTCCAGCTTCACTTTCAGACGTTTTGTCCAGAATGGAGGGAAAAACTTGACCGTCTGATATTTTGAATCGTTCCGATAAGCTGTGTCGAGGAGGTTATGGAAAACTAGAACAGAGCAGAGGGAGCTGAAAGCTTCTGTTTGCGAAAACAACAAGCAAACAAACAAACAAACAAACGGCTGCAGCGGTTGCGGTGGAGATACTCACTTCTGCACTATCATTTATTCAGAGACATGTAAGCAGCATCCATCTGCTCGTTGGCAGTGTGGGAGTTGGAAGCGTTGGGCGCTTTGGCTGCCATTGCATTCTTAATAAAAGTTGGGCCCCGCTCATCAGTACTGGCTGTCTGTGGGTTTTATGTTTGTTTTATATGCACAGAATTAAGCCCAGCGAGACACTACGGCGCTCATTGAGTTTGGACGTATGGTTGAGTGTGTACGAGTGTAAATTTGCTTTTGCTCCGCATGACTCAGGCAACGCTAACCCCTGTGTCTCTGAGCACTGCCAGGAAGCTCCCCTGGTGGAAACAAAGCTTCTGAAGTTTATGGTGTAATATCAGCACTCCTACGCTGCATCTAATGAGGGTTACATCCAGTCCGGGGAGCCTTTGTAACATTTAGCATCATTAGCAGAACTCCGCTTGATGCGAGGCAGCAAACAAGGCGAGCCAACCTCAAAAACTCCTCAACGAGTGTCCGTGCAGCGAGAGGGACGGGCCAACCCGACCCCGGAGCGATTAAAGGCAGGAAGACGGGCCTTTGAATCCACGTTCACGGACAGGAGACACTCGATGCACCCCACCCAAGCGAGAGCCAGCCCCCCCACTAGCAACCTGATGAGAGTTCAGCTGGGCCGATATAAGCACATGCATGCAGAGGCTCCATTCCTGTTTATCAGCTTATAAATGTGCGCACACTAATAAATACGCAAATGCACAAAGTCTCCTGTCTGATGTCCTCCCATCAGATTAGCATCGATCTGCTCTGCTGGCAGTTTAAACTGCATTAACACGGGGACATTTGGAGGCCTTAATCTCATTAGAACCCCAGTATCCCGACGCTGTACTTTTGTGTGAATGCGTGCTCTTATGTTGTGTGTCCACATGTCCGCCATCCGGCGTGCCACTGTGTGTTTTTGTACCGCGGTGTCTTTTTGTGCGCGCGTCCCAAACTAATGGCCATCGTCTGGTGCCGCAGTGTCCCCAAAGATTAAGATTAGATATTAGATCAAGTATCGATCCCGTCCAGTGCTACTGGAAAATTAAAAGGCTTTTAATTCACTGCGATCAGTCGTTAACCCTCACCCGCTCGCATCCATAACAGAAGCCCTCCATCTCTTCCTGCCCGTAGCCGAAGCGGCTCCCTCCACGTTACGGAAAACAGGATCATTTAGAGCCGTCTTCAGGTTGAATGGGAACGTCATCCAGCTGAAAATACCCTCTGCGGCTTGTTTTATGAGCAGATATTAAGCCTCCGAGCCTAAATAACCGTCACCTCGCCCCTTCTCCACCTGAATCTCGTTTTTATATCAGAGGAATGATTAGAAAAGTATGCGACCGCATTTGGGAATAGGTGGTTCACAAAATGGATGGATGGATGGTTAGAAAAGTGGATGAACCTTCTTATCAGGCAGACAAACACAAAAGAAAAGGATCATGCTTTTTAGCTCAAAATATTGAGGACGAATAACTGAGTTATTGATAAATTTTCATTTTATCAACCCCTAAAAATTGCCCTGGTTCAGGTATGCTCTTACCAAGTCATAATGCCTCTATTAAACAGTCAAATTTACCTTTCAATCAGACATGTTTTTATTTTAAAGAGGCTTTTCAGCCTCTTAAAGTGTGTTATTTCAGCCAGTTAAAGGGACACAACATTGGTCAGTTAGTTTTCTAAATACTGCTTGTTGTTATTGTTTCTAATGTTTATTTATGACACCAGATGACCTGTTGCCATTTGTCTTTTTTGCCACGCTCATGAGTTCAATTTTCAGATTTCGAGACAAAATGTCGAAGTCAGTCATTTAGAGTGAAATTCAGGGGCTGAGAATTGTGTTTTCAGTTCAAACCACGGAGAATATGTCCACTTCTTTTTTTTCTCTGGGACCCCCCCCCACTCTCACAAAGTCTGGTGTTTGAACATGTTCAGACGCTAACATGAATTAGTTTTCATGTTGAAGGGGCTACAAAGACTATAGAAGTTCCTGAGCGTTTCAGGCCCAGAAATGTACAAAACCAACACCAGTTGATCTCAAAGTGAGTCACAGGCTCACAAACGCCTCTCATCTTACTTTAAATCATGTTTTCTGACTCTTTGGGCCGCAGAAAAGCTCTCCCCAATCCTTAAATATGATTAAAGACTTTGAGCAGCCAGTTAGAAGACGTCGGATGCAAGTTCTTTTGAAACGACTCGCAAGTCCAAAGCACACAGTCACCTTTGTACTGGCTTCAAATGAATACACAAACCTCCTGGTAGGGAGCCTCATTAGAAAGCTTTGTGTGCGCTCCTCTCCTCATAGCTCTTTACTTTATTAAAGTTTAATTTTGTTGTGGGTGGAGGCAGGAACTGATAGCGGCCCCACTTTGATTTTTATTGTGTTGGCCCTTGTTGGAAATCTTCATCTTCCCTAAACTTTGGGTTTATGTGAAGAAGATGAGACTTTTTTTGCCGTGTGAAGCGTTTATGTTGGGAAATGAGGAAAAAGATAAAGGCCTTAATGTCTCATTAGCGGCAAATTAGCAATTAATTTTACTCAAATGTTGGGAGTTTTTTTTTGTTGTCATTTATCATCTTTCATTTGTTTTCTTTGCTTCTGTTGTTAGGATCAAACAAATGCTGTGTGTTGAATGAGAATTGATCAGAGGCTGAACGCCCAAAGGCAGGCAGAATACTAACTGTTCGGTTAAATCATGTAACAGACGAGCAGAAAAGGGCAATGTACTGATGGTAAGATCTTAAAATCAAAGACTGTAAAGCAGATCCACGTAGACGGGTAATCATCCTTTAAAGTAATCACGGCCGTTCCTCTCTAAACTTGTCCTTCTTCCACACTGTGGAGACACGGCAGCCCACAAACAACTCTACCAAGAGCACTACATGCCAAACTAGGATTAAAAAGGCATTAGATCATGGGTTTTTATGGATCTGACCTTCTGTCATCTGATTATTTTAAGGGGAGGGGGAAAGATCTCCATATTGGGAAAACTATGGTTACTTTCTCTAAACTTTGCCAGATCTGTCTGCGAATAAACATTGGGTCAGTTGTTCTCCAGGGAGCAGCGGACATCACATTCATTTTGTGTCTAAGGGGAGAGAAAAAGACGACTTTAGAGTGTGTGAGATCAAACACGATGGACATTAATCACTATCACAAACAGATTTCTAACCAGAACATTCGACTGATTTTAGGTTAACGGTTTATTCTTGCTGCATCTTAACTATTTCTCATAAAAAACAGACTCCCAGCAGTCTCCATGTACTGGATGTCTTAAAACACACCTCATGATCTCTTACATACAACAATGAGATCAAATTTAGATGCAGCTTAACAACTATGAGCTGTTTTTAAGGTATCTGTTTCCGTGGTGATCAGTGTTGTAGGCGATGGCTTCAGCAGCGTAAAAGTTGCCACTTTTTAAACAAAAATGTTTTCAAAAAACGGAGATTTGCTGCAACCTGTAGTGACGCCACCCAGCTCTGCAGACTCGTCATGGCCTGTACTCGGTCGGTCTCGATCTGTGTAATCCGAGGCTCCGTCGGGCCTATCGGACGGCCGCCTGAGGCTCGGCTCACAGAGCGGACAGGAAACATTTAAGGAGAGGTTTGTGGGGACGAACGCGGAGCACATTCAGATATTTTTAGCCTCACACAGATAATGTCAGCAATCATCGTCATGACATCATCTTTACCTTTGACCTGTCGAATTTGAAAGACACAGACAACCAGCTATGACTCAGCTTTGGAGTTCTTACTTTTAGTTTATATGACCTAATTCCTAATTATTGATCTTACATTTCTTTGAGTGCACACATTAAGAGGCTCTCATTTCCTTATCGTGTGACATCAGAGTTTCCCCCCCAAACCCGGGAGTTTGCAGAGTTCTCAGAGGAGCTGAGCTGCAAACATTTACATCATTCCTTACCCTGCAAAAATGAAGACGGGGAGGTTCAACCTGATTATGTTATTAGTTATGAAGCAGTGTACACACTTAGCCCTGCGAGCCTCAGTGGCCTCAGTGTGCTCATTTCCACTTAGAGTGGCCGAACTTAAACGCAGTATTTATTGATTCATCTATAATGTAGCACTGGATCCGTGGAGGTAAATTATTTTTGGGCTAGCACATCAGCGCTGCGTTTGGAGCTGCAGCTGGGTGGAACTGGAGGGTTTGCGGGTTGAATTTAATCATTACACACACTCGGCATTACGCTTCCTTTACCTTTAATCACCAACTCTGAAATGTGCAATGAGCAGCTGTGTTTGTGTTGTCTAAGAAGGCTTCTCGTCCCAAATGACAGGCAGAGCTCCTGTTCTTTTGTGACTGCTGCAGAGCATAAATCTCATCCCACCACAGCTGGATTCATAAAGAAGAGCGTCCTTTGGGATCTTTTTGTGTTTTGTTGTCATTACAACAATTCAAATATACCACAGACAGAGTCAAAGACACAAAGAAACATTTTTACATCTTTTAATGAGTGCTCGATCCAAAACATCATTTAAAATGCTCTGAACTTGCACTTAAAATCTTTATTGTTCTTTTACTGGTTAAGAAAATGTTGGATTAAAGATATTTGAATAATTTCCGTTATGTTTATTTGTACTTTAAAAATAGTTCTACTCTCAAAAACGATGTTCAAAATCAACATCTGTTTGGCAATTTCTTTACATGTACCAGACATACAAAGGAACACCTTGACACCAGGTAACGATACTTAGACCTGTCTTAACGCTGGCTCTAATAATACTATTAACTAAACAAAAAACTAGATTTTACATAGGCTACCTTACAAAACAGATAAGCTACATTACCATCAGCCTAAAAAGCCTGAAATTGGAAATGCAGTGACCTCCACATGTTGCGTTCCCATTACCTTCCCAGGTGTTTGGAGGCGGCTGTCTGTTGAGCCGCTGTGGGTTTGCTTGTGTGTGCCACAGGGAGAGACGAGACCATGCAGCCGGCCAAGCCGTCCTTCCTGGAGTATTTCGAGCAGAAAGAAAAGGAGGCGAACAGTCACAATGACGGCGGGCGGAGGGGGGAAAACAACGCCGACAACCGCAAGCTGCCTCCCGACGGAGACCTCGAAGTGGTGAGTCCAATCCTCCCTCCCTGTGGTCGAATTACCCACTCGTTCCCGCTAGTTGGGAGTTGTTCGCTACAGCAAAGTGTTTAATCTGCACTCAGTGCGGTGCTGAACAGGCGTTTTTGGCGGCTCTCAGCTTTGATGACAGAGCAGAAATTAGTTATGTGATGCCCCGTCTTTATGTGGTCTCTGAGGTGCTTTGAGTCGTGATAAATACATTTAAAAACCTGCTGGAGAGGAACCGAGACCCAGTCAGGCCGCTACCTTTGGTCAGACGGGACTAAATGGCGTTTTTTTTTTTTTTTAAAGCGAGTCCGAGCTCGCATTTCTTTCCCCGTCGCTTCACTACGGCTGCAATTCACTCGTCTGTCCCGTCTTTGTCTTCACCTTCCGTCTGGGCGGATTTCCCTCAGATCTGGTCACTATTGATTCCCCCACCTAAGAATAGCAGGCGATGACCTTATAGCGTTTTTAAATCTGGAGCGTTGCAGCATCCTAAAACCCGTTTCTGTGTTATGGCCGGCGTGGGCCTCACACTCAGGCTGCTGCAGGGGTTGTGTAACGGAGTAAAAGCAGGTGGTGTTTGTCTCGATCGGAGGCATTTACACAGGACAAGCTACAGCTGCTTAATTAAATATTTAACATCTGACCTTTGAAATAGAAAATGTGTTCTCTTACCAGATTAGACGGCTGCCTTTCAGCTTTACTGAGAGCCAACCAGCTCACTGAAGCTTATCGGGACTCAAAGTGTTACAGCTGATTCTAAATGAGAATTTGCAGTGGTGAAGTGGTCAAATTTGAACTATAACTGTCGTTAGACTTCCTACTCTGCTTGTATGGACGACCATAAGGCGGCGTGTGTGTGGCAGCATCTTGAGCCGTGAAGCTGGGTGTAGTTTTCTGTTTTGCAGACCTAAAATGTGTGATTTACTGCGCCGTAAACAGCATCAGTGTGTCAGAGGGAGATCAAACAGACTTTATTGATGACAAAGCTCCCTCTGGGTGGGATTTATTGTGTTATTGGACTTGCTGATGTGAGGACCTTTAAATTCACTCAGACAGCTTGCTGACAGCTTCCTGCTTTCCATGTTTAATTTTAGATATATTTGCTCTTCTCTTTGAAAGTGTGTTCTTTACAAACAGCACTCAAACACCCGGCGTTTTTCTAGATTCAAACTGACTTTTACCCAGCCGTCATACAGTGGAACCTCATGTCCAAAAATTGAGACGTTATAGAAAAAAACCTTTACAATCATATCGGAAAATGCCGTGAGGTTGCTCAGTATTTTATGCATATTTCAGGCAAGTGCTGTCCTGCTCATTTTCCAGTTTTATCTGGGTTTAAGATGCTTTTTTTTCTCTGATTTCAGGCTCAAACCAGAAAGCAGTTAATGAACCCATAAGGAGGACTTTCAGTTTGGAGTCCTGAACGTGGCCTATTTTGAGTCTGTTAACGTTTAAACAGGAAGAACTTCACAGTTTATGAGATCTCTGCACTATGTTTGGGAAAATATGTTTTTTGATGGGTCCCCTTGATAGTAGAAGCTCTACTTTGGCAACGTATGAAGAATTTCTGCTATCAGACCCACAATCAGCAGATGCTGCTCATTTTTTAGGAGAAAGTTTCAGCTTGACTCCCACCGCTCACACAATGTTTTTCACCGGCCGAAACGCTCAAACAGTCCGACATAAAACGCATTTTTAGGATAATTTTAGTGAGAATCAGCATAAAAACTTGAAAACCCGTGTTTGAAACTAAAAGGAGAGCGGTCAGCTGGCAGGTTGAAATACAGAGAGCAGATCAGGTTAACTCTGACTGGGATCCTTCAGCAGCGCTCCCATCACGAGCAGGTGTGTTTGCACATGTGGCGCTGAGCGCCTCCCGTCCTCTGAGGCTCCAAATGTTTCATTAATGACTCAAACTGAGACTCCCTTAAAACCCCAGCAGAGCGTGTAGCATCACACCTGCGAAGGCTCTTCATCAGCCAGCCACATCTGCAGACAGTCTGGAGCTCAAAGGTTTCAGGCAAAAGAACGAATCATCCAAACGATTAACATCTCATGAATTTAATCCTAATTAATCTGATGTGTCCCGTTTGGACTGATTTGCTAATCAAACATGGACCAGAACCTTTGGTTTAACATTTAGCTGTAAAGTATGAACAAAGCTGAGTTCACACTCAGGGTTTCCCGATTAATCCATACACAAGATGACAAGATTTACAAAGCTGAACTATTTCTAACATGTTGCTCATATCGATGATGTCATCCAGCGGCTCACCCTTTGAGTTATACTCACACGCTGAAAAAGGAGAGAAAAATACAATACTCTGAATACAACCTTCTTAATCATTAAGCGGTTCGTCTTTGCTTCGTGTTTACTGTTAGAATGAAACAGTCATTATTTAGTCTCATCCTGAAAATCCCCTCCCGATGTTCATTTGAACGGATCACCGGGGGGTCCGTGTGAAAACAGGCGGCGATCCGAGCCCCGGCCGGACCTTCCGTCCCCAGTCGGCGGATATCTGTCCAGTGGACTGGGACGCCAGGGTTATTTTAGCGTTTATTGATTGGGTGTAATAAATAGCTTGGTGTTGCTGGTAAAAGCTAAGAGGGGGAACCCCCCGGGGAGCAGCTAAAGCAGCCTTCAGGTCCCGATCAGAGGGATAAAGGCAGAGAAATGGACGAATGTCGGTAGATGTGGCCTTTAGAAGCCACTGGAATAGACGCAGTCATCACGCACCTTGGTTACTGTTGTTATGCGCGATATATTTTTAGGTTATAGGAAAGATTTTCTTAACTGTCTGTCAATGAACACGGGGCCCAGTTGATCTTTGAGCTTCATGTAATCAAATCACTTGACAACAGAAGAGAAGTAAAGGTACAGAAGCACACCGGGGTCAGACCCAGCTCCTGACCCTGTTAGCACACCTCCTGACCCTGTTAGCACACCTGCTAACCCTGTTAGCAACCCTACTCACCCTGTTAGCACACCTCCTAACACGTTTAGCACACCTGCTGACCCTGTTAGCACACCTCCTGACCCTGTTAGCACACCTGCTAACCCTGTTAGCATTCCTCTTTACCCTGTTAGCACACCTCCTAACACTTTTAGCACACCTCCTAACACGTTTAGCACACTTGCTAACCCTGTTAGCACACCTGCTGAGCCTGTTAGCACACCTTGTTAGCACATCTGCTAACCCTGTTAGTACATCTGCTGACCCTGTCCGGATTCAAATGTTTTTCAAGCACTGAGAATGAACTTTAACATATTGATTTAAATTATTATTTATGCCAGGTTTACCTAAAACACTTTTCTATGCTGGGGAAAGGTAACAGGTCTGAATGAGAGTGTAACATCACCGTTATTGAGATGAGTTGAGGTTATTATTTGTATGAAACGGGTTTCTGGTGCTGCTCCGTGTGAGGCCTTTCCGGGTGGGAGCCTCGTGGGCTGTAACAGCCGTGGCTCCGTGTGTCTGTGTGCAGGTGAGCACGTGGTCCGTGGAGGATCTGAAGATGAGGCTGGCCTCCCTGGACCCGCAGATGGAGCAGGAGATCGAGGAGATCCGGCAGCGCTACCAGGCCAAGCGGCAGCCCATCCTGGACGCCATCGAGGCCAAAAAGCGCCGGCAGCAGAACTTCTGAGGAGCCGCCCCCGGAGCCCCCCCTCCCCTCGTCTCGTGTTTCGCTTCTGTTCTTCACACCAGCACGCCCAAGTTCCTCCATCCAGATGTGCTGCCGCGCTCACAGCTGGATGTAGCGCGTGTGGCGGCCCCTCGCTTTGGATGTGGAACCGCGGACTCCAAAGAGCTGTTCGACCTCTGTTCGATGTGAGGTGTTAAAGCACAACAACTGGTCAAAACTTTATTTTTGTATCATGAACGTCTGATCTGCTTCTTTCCGCTCACCTCCAGTTTGGTACTGTAAACCCGAAACTGCTCATTCTTCTTTGGTACTGCGTTTTTGTTTTTTTGGGTGTTTTCTATAGTCTTTCCTGTCATGGTTAAAAAATTATTTTTAAAAAGAGAGACTATGCTGCTAAACCTTCCAGTGTTTCCAGGAAAAAGCGGCGGGCTGCCTCCTCAGACGGATGGGGGCTCTCTGTGGGTCTGATGAGGTTAGCCGGCCCTTTTCCATCCGTCACTCTGAATGTTGAGGCTCGTCCAAAAGAAGTGGCAGCAGGAGTCGTTTCCATCCTTCTCCCTGTCGCTCGCTCTGCCGCGTGAAGCATCACGCACTCTGAATCCTTTCTCATCGGAAAACACCCTTTCTTACTTTAAAAATGGTGCTTTCATTCAGGTCATATCAACATACTGTTTTTCCTTTTTTTTGTTAGAGGAAAGAAACGAGGTACTGCGTCCGCAAAGAAGGGAACTTCAGAAAATATTGAAACTTGATGGACGATTATGAAAATTGATTGTTTTTTTTTTTGGGGGGGGGCAATAATTTTTTAATTCAGTATATATGATTGTGGCATTTGCATCCAAATAGATTTGTGTTTTTTTTTGGTTTTTGTTCTAATTCTTCCTTTAATCAGCCCGGGAGTCCATTAATAATTGTTGAGCTTCGTGTTCCTTTGGGGGGGGGGCTTTATTCGACCCCATGTGGATTCAGTCTGCTCCGTGTTTACTAGTCACACACTGTAGCACAGAACAACAAAAACAGGAAACAGGAGCACCTTCATCAGCAAAAAGGCCTTCAAACTCACCTGTGGATTTGAGCGTTTGGTTTGCAGAATTTGGAGTTTGTGGTTTGATTTTTATGCTAAATTATTCAACGTACCAAAATCTTTTTAAGGGAATGTGATGACTTCTGCTGCCTTTTAACCAGCTGTGCCCTTTTTTTTTTATATACGTTTGTGTCCAGCTTTTTTACTCCCACTGAACGGCCTTTTCTCGTCTGTTTTTTTTATTTTTCTTTTACGTCCTGGATGTATATTTCTGACCTGGCTGACCAGGTCTGACCCCACTTTACTTCAAACATTCCTCAAAGTCACTGCTTTCCGGAACCTCTGGCACATCTGGTTTACACCCAGCACAAAGCATAATGAGGGACCAGGTGTTTTGTTTGGATTTTTTTTTTTAGAGGTTTAGCGTGGACACGGACAGACGGCAGGGGTCAAAGTGGAAACGGGCTTCTCGGGTCAGGAGACTCCTCAGGGGTGTAAAATAATGAAATTCAGAGGAACGCGTCGCTATCCGTGAGCCGCTCCACACTTTCAGTATTGACGGTGTCAGATAAAGGCGAGGAACCCCCCCCCCCCCCCTCATAATGCTCTTTTATATCAATCTTTAGACCCCATTTTTTCTGTAGCATAATGACTCATGAGCACAAATCTTCTCCAGTTCTGCGTGACTTAAAGGAATGATTCTTTCTGCCTCTTCCATTCGTTTCACTGGATTTTTGCGCGCGTTCATTTTTTCCTGCGACGGCGTGGCCTCCTCGTCTCATCGACCCGCCGTCTGCCTCGCCATCCGTCAGGCTTTGAGTCGCCATCACTGGAAAACGCAGACGGGAGTCAGACCCCGCTGATTTGGAGTTTGCGTACCTCGTCGAAAATGTGACCTCTGCATAATCTGCACCGGGGCTTTTGAACGCAGCGTTGCTGTTTACAGACTGTGACTAATGAGGTCAGAGCAAATCTCTGCGGTGCCCGCCCGGGCTTGAAATCAGGGCGATTTTTTGACGTAATTTATTCGCAATCGCAGCCGGTAACTCATTAGAACCGGTTGTTAAATCACAAAGTGCAAATCCTACTGAAGCACATGGAGTTTTATGGGTACATCTTTCATGAATCGTTACGTTTTCTTTACCTTTCTTTTTTGTCCATCCTCTCATCTGTTTTTGCACTGATTTTCTTTTTTTTAAATGTGCGCATGTATCTCAGCCCAGTTGTGAACATCTGTCACTAGCTGTCATAGGAAACCGCTGTCGTCGTGAACAAATCCAGAATAAGTCAGCCTGTTGGGTCCGGGTGAACACAGCATGCGCCGGCTGTCGTCAGGAGTATTTTTGCCTTTCCGAAGTTATCGCTGCCTCCTCTGTGTGCAGGACGACGTGGGGACGGGAGTTTAGCCTTCACTCTGAGGTGGATCCGCCTTAAAGGACAGTATGCAGTGCAGGTCCAGCACACGTGTGGTCACTGATGTTTGGTTTGTGTGTTTCATTTGTCTGCTTCTCTAATAAAGAATATAGGAAACCAGCAGCCCGTCCCTGTTTTTTGTTCCTGTCGATACAGTTTTTCAATTATTATCAATATTATGATGAGGAAAGTTACACATTTTAGCAAAAAAAATTTCACATGTAAATGTTTCTCTGCAGCATTTTGAGTTAAGCTGTCACGTAATACTTTATTCCCTTTAATTGTCAAAATGACTATAATATAGTCAATATTTGACTCGGGGAAAGGAAAACTTCAGATTTAAAGGGTCATTTTAAATAATTCCAACAGAAATGTAGCATCTAACAGTATTGCATTTCCAAATGCACTCACAGGCCACTCTGAGAGGTCAAGCTGTTCAAACGCTGGTGCACACAAACGGCTGGTCAGCCAATGAAATGGCTCCGTGCATTTAGGCATGTAGAGGAGTTCAAGCCGAGTTTCAACCCTAACCCTAACCCAGGATGGGGAAGACATCTTTTGAGACGCCAAGTTTTTCAGAAACTGCAAGTCTACTGAGATATGTTTCTAAAAGCTGTATATATCCATCCCTAAACTCTTAAAATTGCACATTAGAGCTTCAACGTGTATGTTCCTCCACACCACAAATGGCTGTTTGTTCCAATAATCCCACAAAGGAGGGCGTCTGCACTCCAAAGCTGCATTTCTGCTCATCAGCTAAGTCATTGCCAAGTTTTAAAACCGCATCTCAGCCCATGGCGACCTCAGAAGACATCTAACAGACACTTTTTGAATATGTTTTGAAAGCAAATTCTCTAAATTTAGTCATCTAAAACTGGCATATGTTCGATAATGATTCATTCTGCAGCAATCCGATTCCCCTGCTGGGATTCGTAATGTGCAATTGAAATGAATCTGATTTAAGTTCAACTGAAATGTGCCGTGAACGCATGTTTAAGCAAAAACGCCTTCTGTTCATATCATTAAAACCTGTTCCGTGTTGATTTCTATGATGTTTTTAAAGATTTTAGCCTCCACTGGCAGCTGGCAGCTTAATGGCAGCATAAACGTGTTCATGAAAACATTAAATAATGACAAAAGATGTTGTTAAATTCCATTCCAGTACAAATAAAGCTAACTGCAACATGAAAAATGGGGAAAATGGTAATTAGAAGCTTGAAAGTGAGGTTGAGATGAGATATCTGATTTGAGAGGAGGCTGTAAGCAGTTTGTTTCTTTGTCCATAGGCTCGTGTCTCTCCATGTCAGATTGTTTGTTCCTACAAGTGTGCCTAAGTTGCTCCTCCTCGGGCTCTTCAGCTGAGCTCCTCGTCTTGACTTTCTGAAAGCCTTTTCTTGTCCCATCAGACTCATCACGACCACGGAAGCCTCTGAGGCACGGCTCCTTCCCGCTTTCTCGTTTTCCCCCTCCATGTTTAGACGTCTGTCTTCCAAAATAGCCGGGCTGAATTTTTAATCAGCCGGCTACGAATCTGATCTGTACTCTCGGTGCTTGTGCCTGTGTGTGTGTGTGTGTGTGTGTGTGTGTGTGTGTGCATTGCCTCTCTAAACCCAAATAAAGAGGAATGTGTGTGTGGGAGGACAAAGAGGATGGACGGTGTGTGTCCCAGAGATTTCGGTCTGCGAGGCCCGACTTTTAAAGCCGTCCCGACACTGATGGGGAACAAGTCATTATGCTGATTAATTTGGCATCTGAGTCACATCTTAATGCCCCACAGAGGTCCTCCGGCCGTCCCATCGGAGTGCCTGATGGGAAACACCAGCATACATGACATAAATGTGACAGAGTGGTAAAAAAAGATTGATCCTCGGGCCAAATCGTTCTCTGTTGTATGTTATTACTTTCCGTCAAAGAAAATATGTGTATTCGCTTCAGTTTTTTGACAGATTTCCATTAATCTGAAGCAGTTACAGGCTTCTGACTGTCAGCAGCTTCTTCTGGACGTTGGTACACTTCCATCGTGGTGAAATGCTGACTTTAAATTTCCTTGAAGCTTTCTGTTAGCGAGCAGATCAATTTCTATGTGTTTTCTAGGTTCAAGGAGTCCAAATATACACGTTTGCTTGAAAATATAGAGAGTTCTGTCTTGAACCGTTAACATAAGGGACGATGGAAAGTCTTCAAACCTGTTTGTGCCGTCAGCTCTGTGCAGACATGAAAGGACCTCGCCTGACAGTGAGACGACACGACGCGGGGAATCTGAGAACGTGACGCCTTCTGAGAATTCTCTGTTACCTGCCAAGCTGCAGTCCCAGAAAGATACCTAAAAATAACCGACTGAAGCTCACAAGTTTGTTTAAACGAGAAAAGAAAAGAAAAGAAACGAGTGTCGGGCATGGCGGCGGCTGCATCATGCTCTGGGGATGGTGGGATCGTGCGTCTGTTTTTCTGCATGCTGGAAGCCTGGTGTTCCCTGTTATTTGAAATGTTCAGACCAGATATGTGCAATTATTTACAATTAAAACAGATTGAATTGCAGTTTTGAAAATGACAAACTCAATGCGAAGAAATGAATGCATAAATATGTTGTTTAAAACATTTTTTTTTTTCTGTATATCAGAAGGCCAGATGAAGCATGGGAATGTCGTACAGGGGCTTTTTGGACGACTTCCTCTTTGACATTTCAGTTGGAGATCTTCCAGCTGAAGATGGCAGCGTGGTTTTGCCTCTCGGGTTCGATATGAACCTGCCGGAAGAGGCTTCCTACTCCTGGATCTGTTACGTGAAACCCAAGACCAGCCACAGAACCGTCATCATTTCATTCCTCTTGTTGAGACTCAAAGGTTCCTTCCTGCATTTCTTCCAGAACAAAGATTCAAGGACAAGACAGGACAAGACCGCTTCCAGGATTCTGAACCTCAACCTCCAGCGACCCAAAGATCTGACCAGATTCCACCAGAGGTGATCCTTGTGGAGCTGGACCACAGGAAAGGAATTTATCATTTCAGTGGGTATTTTTCCAGAAATAAAACTAGGACTACACCACAGTTTTATTCTCTCTCAGACACACAAGCAGAAGTTTTAGGTTTGGAACTGAACTGACTGGAACTGAATTAAAAAGCGAGGCATTCTCATTTCTCTGGGAGTTGGATCCTTGCTTTTGGTCAAAGCTGGTATCACCTGTGATGCGCACACACTGCCGAGTGTCCCGTTTGTGTCCCGAAACAAAACAGAAGCCGTCTCTGCTTCGATTCAGAAAGACCGAATAGACCTGGAAAGATACCTAAAAGTACCCGACTGAAGCTCACAACCCACAGAGATAAAAGTTTGTTTAAACGAGAAAAGAAAAGAAACGAGTGTCAGGCATGGCGGCGGCTGCATCATGGTCTGGGGATGTTGGGATCGTGCGTCTGTTTTTCTGCATGCTGAAAACCTGACGTGCGTGGCAAAAAAGTTTGGGAAAGCAGGTTTTGAAAGTCTGAGACGTTCAAAGTTATAATCGGAACAACGGCTTATCACTGATTGTGATCAGCGACATTTTGACAGGGTTTGATGCATATCCCCGAAAACACAGCAGCTGGATGTCGCTCAGACTCATCCGCTAAATGCACGCCGTGGCGGTGAGCCACGGAGGCATCTCTCAGGGTGGAAAAGGTCGAAGAAAAAAGCACACGTCACAGAAACATTGCAAAGTGGAACTTTGTATATTTGGTTCCTTTCCCAAATTCCCCTTCTTCAAAGGATTTGCTCGTGAAAATACAAATAAAAAAATGAGCCAAGAAATGGGGTTGATGATATATTCTGCATGAATTATATCTTCTTTTAATCATTTTAAAAAGATTTTCTTTTTTGGGTCTTAAACATAATGAAATGTTTGTGCGCCAAACAATAACAAAAAGAGGCTTTATTTGGCCTCCTTAGCTTTTTACCTTTTACCTGCTGTTTTGTTTCCTGCATAGATGTTTAAATGGGGTGTTGTCTTTACTCTAGTCTGTATTTCCACAAATGCAGCAGTCACAGTTGTACATTGCATTATGTATTTATTTCTTGGTTGTACATGCTATTTCAATTTAACTCGACCTGGGCCTGTTTTTCCTCTTCATTTTAAAGCAGGCAGAGTAATAAATCCAATCTGAGAAGAAAGAAACGTTCACTTCTCTCTCTCTCTCTGGTGTATCAGAAATAAATAAGCCCGGTTTAAATGTTTTAGAGGTACACAGTCTGCGGCTAGTTAATGTCCACAAGGTATGGTCAGTTTTTTTATGTCAAGACGAGAGTTATCCAACACAGAGTTTCCGAAGAAGGTTGCATTTTTTTTGCAGTTCTGGTTTCAATGAAAACCAAACATGAATTTGAGCCGAACTAGTTAGATTGCATGTATTTTTTTCTTTCTTTTGAGAATCAATCAACAGCTTTTCACAGCTGATACAGCTCCCTCTTGCTGGTCATCGACATATAGGACGGATGTTCCACATAGCTGTAGTTTATGACCCCGCCTTCGTCTTCATAATCGATATCGTCTTCCTCGATGTCGTCAATGTCATCGTCCTCCGAACAGTTGCTGTCTCTGTCCGATTCTTCGTCCTCGTCCTCTTCCTCGTCCCCCTCCTCTTCCTCCTCCAGCTCGTCCTTGCAGCTCATCCTCATCTTCTTGCGGTTGTTGTTCCTCACCGAGGCCTCCAGGGCCTTCTGGCGGCGGTAGAAGTGGGAGAACTTGTTGAAGATGATGGTGATGGGCAGCGCCACCACCAGCGTCCCGCCCAGGATGCAGCCGCTGGCCGCCAGCTTCCCGGCCACCGTGACGGGCACCACGTCCCCGTAGCCCACCGTGGTCATGCTGACCGTGCCCCACCACCAGCAGGCCGGGATGGTGTCCAGGCCCACGTCCTAAAAAAACAGGCCCAAGGTGCACACTCAAAGATGACAAGGCGGGATTTTTTTTTTCCTCAATGGCACGATGCTGATAGAAACGGCTGTGAACGTAAGCTAATATGATGCTAAAACTTTATGATGACATCATTCTAATGTGACAATGTCGCTAAAAGAAAGTTAGAGACTTATCCAGTTTTTTCTCTGGCAAACGTTTTCTTATCTCAAAACACCACAGAATTAGAGAAGTGGCTCATTAAAGTGTCCACAGAGGGAATTTTACTGGAGTTTGAGATAACTTAAATCTCAAAAGAGTTATTTCTATAGTTTTCTGTCTGTGTTTGGGGTTGATATTGAAACCCGCTAACGTGGTTAGTATCTTTGGATGATATAGACATTAAAAAGACACGTTCAGGAAACAAAACATCCCATCTGATGACCAGTAAACTAACTGGCCATCTCTATTTATTTATTTTTTTTACCTCCTCACATTCAGCAGTGTAAGCGATTCCAGAGAAGACGGACACCCCCACGGCCAGATAGAGAAGCAGAAGCCCGACCTCCCGGTAGCTGTGCTGCAGACACCACACGACACGAAGACCCCGGTTAGAAATCACCTCTGGTGGAACAAGAGGACATCTTTATCGTTTAAACCCATTTAAAGCAGCCAACGGCGTCGCGGTCTGACACCGGGAATTTATGGTCTGTGGTTTTTACATCCTTCTGTTCGTCCATTGGTTTTCTGTACCTGCCATTTGCCAACACACACACATATACACTCTCAACTCAACTCAACTCAACTTTATTTATAAAGCGCTTTCAGTCAGCCAAAGCTAAAATCAAAGCGCTGTACAGGTCATTTGAGCAGATCATAAAACACAATCATCACCACAACACAAGACAAACTCAAAGATAATAATAAAAAAAAACAGTAAGAGCAAAAAATAAATAAATAAGTAAATAAATAAAAAATAAAAAAAAGAAGAAAAACAAAAAAAACAAAAACCAAGTAAGAGAGGGAAATTAAGACAACTAAGATAAAGTCGAAGTCTCACTCAAAGGCCTGAGAGAAAAAGTGGGTCTTTAAAAGGGTTTTAAAAGAGCTGAGTGTAGGGGCCTGTCTGATAGAAAGGGGGAGGGCGTTCCACAGTTTGGGAGCTGCCACAGAGAATGCTCGCATACATGCACACACAGACATACACACACAAACAAACATACAGGTGAGAATGAGAACAGTCCAGACAGAAAGACCCTAGCTTCCTTTTTTCCCCGTTTAGTTCAGCTGCGCTTTCCCTCCGGTGTGTTTGTTGAGTTTTTCTTTGCATCCTGTGTCACAGCTGGTCTCCCTTTTCTGGTCATCACTCACCTGTCTCTGCCTCTCTCATCACCCCCCCCCCCCCGTTCCATTTATCCCTGGCTTTCACTCACTTCCTGTCACATCACTTCAGGTTTGGGTTCTAGTGTTAAATCCCACTTGCTGATTTGTCTCTCAAGTTGCTTGTTTTTCTTTAAGTTTAAGTTGAGTTTGAGTTATTTCTGCTTTTTCTGTATTTTTTCGTTTGGGTTAAATAAACCTTTTGTTGTCCTTTGATAATTTTTTGCATTTTGCTCCTCAGCCTCCACTTCCTCCTCTTTTCTCGACATCTTACAGTTCTATTGAAATCAACTTTGACTTAGCATTTTTAAAATGACCTTGTTCTCACTTTTCCTCATCATTATATCCTTCAGTTTATACAAAAATACATTTTTTTAGGGGGGTCTGATCAGGCCACATGGGCCGGCCAATCACAGCAGACGGGGGAAACACAGGGAGCATTATGGGGAGTCGGATTTGTCGAGGAGATGAGCTGAAACAAAATATACGCTGAGTTTTTTTGATCAAATTACATCCACTTGCAGTCTCTCTCCTGGAGCTCTTACAGGACGACGGAGAAGGGTAAAATAAATGGCTCCTCCAAACAAAAGACAGTCTGCCTTTAATACTCTAAATATAGAAATGAATTCTTGTCATTTTGTTTTACTGTCATCATTCTCTTGTTACTGGATGTGAGGGAAGGTAAAAATAATTCAAAGCCCGGAGACAAAAAGATCAGCGAGTCCATATTCAGCACGTCCAGGACGAGGACAAATTTCAATTCAAAAGATGAAAACAAACGGCCACAATCCAGAAACTTATAATCAAATTAACTTGTTGTTACTAAACACACAATTACAAACTAAACATACAAAAAACTGCCATTAACAATAGAAAATGAATAAGTGAATGATTATTTGGTTTAGATTAAACCAAAATCTGAAAACAGCAAAATTTGCATTAAAACACAAATACAAAAGGGAAATAACTCATTAAAGTGTTGTTATCCAGCAATATTACAGGTTATATAGAGACTTCTTTTTTATGTGGACAAAATGATGGAAAGCACACATTTCACTGGATAATTACTCCTCCTGTGTAAAAAACATGATATTTAGTTATTTCATCTACTATTTCTAATTCTAAAGTAATGAAAAAATAACTTCTCTTCTCTTTTAAACCCAGAAACCGATGTTTGGAGACCAGTTCAGTAAATTCATAAACACAAACAGGAAATAATCAGTCACATATGATGCAAAGTAGCAAAGATTAATGTTTCTGTGTTTGTTATTGACAGACTTCAGAGGAGCTCTGTGCATCTGCAGGTTCTTTAACTGAAAAGAAAAGCCGGAAAATGTCCGTGCTGCCTCGCTTTTGTCTATAAAGATTGCGTCGGCACAAACAATGGCTCTCCCTCGTTTTGCGCTCAGCCGGATGGATCTTTCCCTCCGAACGCACGCGTTCAAACTGAATTTATAACCTTTGAAACGGCTAAACAGCACAGGTTTGTTCGGCGGTGTCAGACTCTCTTTCCTGGGCAGATGCTCTGATGTCAGAAGAACAAAGATACAGAGTAAAAGGCAGCCGGCTGGAGGCAGCCGTGGTTGGTGGGGAGTGTTCGTTAAAATGGTGCGCAAAGGGTCAAAGAGCCCGCATGCTAAAGATGGAAGACACGGAACAAAGAGGCTCCTCTTTAAACCCAGATGTACACACGGAACAATGTCTGTCTCACGCTTCTGAATTTCACAAATGGTCACTTAAGACTTCCTGGAGCCTGGCTGCTATATGTCAGCACACAATTATTGAAGGTAAACATGGTATATGTCAGCCCTGGGTACAGAGCATTAATCGGGTCAAACCCTCATCACTGTGTGGAGCTCAAACCCAGTCTGTGTAAAACTAAAGTTCAACAATGATCAGAGTGCGGGGTTTTCTGTTAGTCAGTCCAGGAGAGAGAATATTGAAGCCAGTGTTGGACTCCTGATGGCGGTCACAGACCGGAGCACTCTGAATCTGAATCTAAATATAATGCAGCCGAATTCAGTCTCCCAGCAACTTCGTCTAAGACGACAGTCTCTCTGTTCACATTACCGCTGATGTATACTGATGCTTTCCACACGGATCATTCTCCGCTCATCATTTGGGTGGGAAAAAAAAAAACCAAAACAAGCCAGAGACAGAGAGGGAAACAGGAGACGTAGACGTAACGAGACGCTGTAGTACAGTGCGGTCACCGTTTCTGACCGGTGCTGCTTTGTCGGCGTAACTGATCCACTTCCCCTGAGAGGGGCCAGAGGTATGACACCAGATATCAGCACACAATCGGATTCAACAGAAAACACCGGGAGCTCGGAAACCTGCACTTTGCAGTTAAAGGACGAGACAGAAAAGGCTTCAGAAAACGGAATCTAACTCACCCGGTCACACTAAAGAATCAGCCATGATCTCTTTATTTGATTTTTTTTACACAATTGGGCTGAGAAATGACGCAATTAGCATTGGGAAACGATCCTGACACTTTGGGTTTGGCTAAAAATACATCTCAAAGACGCATGAATGGTCCAAGGACACATGGGTTTGAACTACTGAAAACATTCAAAACTCCAAGCTTTTTTGCATCGATTTGAAAGGTGATTTCACTCAGATTTCACCAGGATTGGCAATCTGAATTTAGAAAAAGGCGAGACCTTGGACTTTGGGACGACAGCAAAGTCAATGTAAGGCACCTGAGAGTCCCTCTCTGTCCGTGCTGGAGCCTTCAGAGGCTTCAGAAGGAGCTCAGGCTTCTTTTGGGCCACAGCTAACTGTAGATAAAGTGTGGACGTCTGCTTCTGAAGAAGTTCCTGCACGCAACACCCTTTTTGTTTTATAGCCGAAGCCGCAGGTTCATTTGCTTTGGTACATTTATGTCTGCAGCTCCACCTTTTGCCATCTCCCAAATGCATCATGTTTGGAGCAGAGCTCCATTCCTCCAGCATTTTACAAGACACATTAAATCTGTTGAAGAGCAGGTTTGTCATGGTGAGCAGGTTTCTGTTTTTTTAGGCTCAGGTAATCAAGCTGTATAGATCCTGGTATGCTTTGAGCCTTTTTTCAGGCTCCTGTTCTGTTTATTTAGTGATCACCCTTTTTTCCCCTTTCTTTTAGCACTGCTTTCTGGCTTGCTTTGTTTCCAGTTGGACTTTAGATAGAATAGATTTTTTTTTCCAGGTAGCCACACTTGCCATTTACTCGCCTTTAATTATTCACATGATCACGCATTTGCTTGGTATATAGAGATCCAGAAAGGATATGGGAATATAAAACACGTGATGCATTTTCAACACTTTATATATATATATATATGTTGTGTTGTGTGTGTGTGTGTGTGTGTGTACAGCATTTACTATCCTGTGAAACACTTTAACTGCTAATTAGTTAGCAAGTCAAATAATACTTTCCCTTCTTTTCCACTGACGGATGCTAATCTGATGACAGTCTAAAACTAAGTCAGACTTTTATTTTCAGTCAGAATAATCCACAGGTCCAAGCATTAGATTGTGTTTTAGTCAGAATCAAAGATGTGCAAAGAAAAGATTTTCTTTAAGGAGAAAACTCTCAAAGTAACTTAACGCTTCGGCACGGCATCCAGAACCCGGGCATGTAGGCGATGTGTAGGATGTGAGAAACAATCAAATCCATACACAGACAGTCCAAAGTTTCGGAACGCCTACATTTTTAAAAATGTAGTTCATGGCTGAGAGAATGACCCGGCCAGGGAGACGGTTTTAAAGTGGGTTACGTTAAAAAAAGAAGTGTTGAGTAAGACGCTTAAAAAGATTTTACATGTATTAAAAACAGAAGAACAAGTCTTGAATGTCGGAAGTTATAAACCTTTTCAAGTCGCTGCCTTATGAATGGTCCAGATCCTCTTTCTGTGCGGTGGCCCCGTGTGAAAACGCTGACTTAGGACAATCTTTGAAGCACCCGACTGCAGGCAGTGCTTTAGTAAGAACAAAAAAAAGCAGCGATACAGGTAGAAAGAATGGGTCACTGTGACAGGAAGAAACTCTGGACTAAGATCAGAACAGACCCAAAGCCGCATCACAATCAGAGTGTTAACAAAAGTTCAATTTGCTGAACTGGCAGAAAAAAAAAGCAAAGATTACCTCAGAGAATTTGTGGATTTGAGGCTCATTTGTAACTTGCAAGTCTGCAACTTTACCTTCCTGTAATTTGATTTGTATTTTCTCTCGTTTCCTGTTTGTTTTTACAAGCGGTAGATGAGTTTATTCGACGGGGGGGGGGAAAGCCCGTGGAGCCCGGATAATGAATTCATTAGCAGAACTGTTGGCAACTTATTGTTTTTCCTGATTATCTTTGGTGCCTGCTGTCGTGTTTTGCTTCTAATGCGGAGAAAGAAGCAGCGCTGGAGAAAAAAGCGCCCGGCGTGAGACGGGCTGTGCTGGAGGAACCTTTGTGCAGAATCCAGCAGCTCCAAGAAGCTGCTGGACTGACCTTCTGCGTTTGAGCGTGTGTGCTGCATATGTGCCTGAGTGGGCCGGATTCCACACACTCTGAGAGACAGAGAGAGTGGGAATGTTGGAAATCTTTTTAAAGAAACCCTTTTTTTTTTCTGCCACCAAACCAGAAATTTGTGTTTCTGCCTCAGAGTGGAATCAAGACCAGATCGGTTAAACATTGTTTAAATGACTGGTCCAAATCACCGTTTGTCAGATGGTCAAACCTTACAAAACCCTGTTCTCCGTGGAGTCCTGACTCACCCTGAGCGTTGCCCCCAGCGAACGGAGACCTGTGGAGTGTCGGGCCAGCTTCAGAACTCTGAATATCCTCATTAACCTGAACACCTGAAAGAAGGAAAGAGCACCGTCAGCTGAGGCGTGACAGCACATGTTCAAAATTATCTTAAATCAGTCAATTTAACACCATTAGCCTCCTTTTGATTGTCCCAGCAGCATTCTCAGCTAAATCCGGTCAGTTGTCGGCAGGTCATTTAAACGTTCAAACCAATGACAAGCTGAGTTTGGCGAGAATATCTGAGTAAATGTCAAATTACAACATGATGGGTTTTCCATGGGTGTTTCTTCTTCATGGGAGAGATTTAAAATATATATATATTAAAATATATATATGAAATATATTTAAAAATATTAAACCAATCTTTCATTGAAGTTTGGAGAAATGGAGAATATTTTTCTCAAACTAAATAAGTCTTTTAAAAATAAATAAGTGTCTATTTTAAATATACATGCTCCTAACCCTAACCTAACCCTAACCTCCACACGCATAACGAGTCCCGATATGTCCCTCAGAGTCTGAAATAAACCATTCAGAGCACTTCTCAGTGCTCTCTGCCGGTGACATCACTGTCGGGGACCACGTAACCATGGTGACCCACTAAAAAGGAGGAGAATCCTGTCGCACTACGTCTTTTATCTTTCGCTTATCATGATGTTTTTCTAAACTCTGCTACTACAAAAGCGTCAAGTCATGGATAAGGGGCGGAGAGCTGGCTCCTCTGGCTAAACGTCCAGTGACTTCATCCCCCACCGCTCTTCCCACATCCAAATTCTGACCTTGTCCGCAGTTTAGAGTCCCTTCCTGGCAAGATGCAGCCATAAGAGAGCACCCTGCTCACTTCAAACGCGGCCAAGGAATTGTTTAGCGTCCCGTCAGCGAAATGGCGGATTTGGAGGGAGAACGTGCTTCAAAGCGCCACCAACCTGTATGAGCCGTCCCAGGTTTCCCAGTTCAGACTCGGCCCCCAGGGTCACGTCAAAGAGGAGGGTGATGTAAATGGGAACCACTGACACCATGTCGATGATGTTGAGCGGGTGATGGAAGAACTTCCTCTTGTTCGGCGCAAGCAGGAGCCGCATCACAACCTGAAAAGAGACGAACGAGACCCAGACGCCGTTTAAAAAAAATACATTTTTTATCTATTAACCAGCAGAAATAAGGCTTGTTTCTATCTGCTTACCTCAAAGGAGAACCAACAGGTGCAGAACACCTCCAAAGCCTGCATGGACGGGTCCTCGATCAGCTTTCCCTCTGAGTCCAGATTCTGAAACACAAGTCCCATCCGAAAAAGGTTTTTAGTGATGGCTGAAGCTATTAGTTGAAGCTAAAACAGAAGTTTTAGAGTTTTCTTACGCATTGGGATCAATAAAAGGGGTCCAGAACTGATGTTTTTGTGGAAGATTTAAAGTTTAAAAGCGAGTAAAGGTGGCGCAGAGTGCAATCATTTAAGCTGACAGCTCATTAAAAGAGCTATTAATCTTTTCCATTGTGATATACAATGTGGCTGCTCCCTGTAACAGAGAATTTATTCCCCCGGTCCAACACGACCTCATCAACTCTTTACTGGCGTTATACTGCTTTTGATCCATTATCATTACCTTTTTTGGATTGTTTTCGGTTTTGGGATCCTTGGATAACAGTTAGCATCCAAAATGTGTTTAGTCATCTAGCACCAGAAGAGGTCAGCAGAGCTGGTTCTAACCTGATTCTGTTTAGAAAAACATACCGGACTGTCTCGATGTTGAGGAAAATTTGGAGAAACTCTGAATTTTTATTGGTTTTCCTTCCACTGTTTTCATAACAGCTTTGAGGACCTTTTTTAATGTAACAGAATCCTAAGGAAAGTGAAAATCACGCAGAGTCTATTACATGTGCATCAAATAAATAGCTTTGAGGGGTGCGTTTTGATGCCACCAACATTAAAGGGCTCTTGAGCTCCAGCAGATCTGATAGAGTAAGCCGCCGCCTCCTAATGAAAGCTTGTCAATATTTCATCAGGCTCTCAGCACCCACCTTATACTCCGGGATGCTGTTGATGCACATGGTGGCGATGGACATGAGCACCACCGCTATGGAGACCAGGCTGAAGAGCTTGCTGGGGATGGAGTACCCGGGGTTCTCCAGCGTCAGCCACAGGCACTTCCTCACGTTCCCGTAGCGCACCTGCTGGAAGTGCTGCATGTCCCTGAGCGGAGCGCCGATGTGTCAGAGATAACGGGCGGGAGCGCCGGAACCAGTGTTGGGGAGTAACGGATTACATGTAACGACGTTACGTAATTTAATTACAAAAAAAGAGTAACTGTAATTCGTTACAGTTACAATTAGAAAATATGTAATTGAGTTACAGTTACAATTAGAAAATATTAAGAATTACAAATTTAGTTACATTTTTTTAAAAATATAAAGAAAAACCTTTGCAAAATATGCAACTCACTGATAGACGAAGCGTATTGATTTACTAATATTTGACTCTTTGGTGTTGATGCATGACAAACGTTTATCGATGTCAATGACCTAGCCTAGCCTAGCCTACCTAGCCTACCCAACTGTAGGGTGACCAGACATTTTCCCTGTCACATGTCCTACATTTCAGACTAGGGTTGTCAAAAGTATCGATACTTAAAAAAGTGTAGATACTAAAATGTTGTATCCGGATACGACTGACCTGCTGTCGCTGCGCCCCTTGTGTCCGATTTATTTATGTATTTATTTACGTTGTTTATGATAATTAACAAGACGTTAGCCTTGAACTGCTAGCTAATAATAACATGCTGAAATTAATCATGGGTTATTACTCATTAAAACCTTAAAGTAATCAAAAAGTAATCAACAGTAATTTAAAAGTAATCGAAAAAGTTACACTACAATTACATTTTAAACAAGGTAACTTGTAACTGTAACGGATTACATTTTTAAAGTAACTTACCCAACACTGGCCGGAACGTAAAGTCTCCGGAGCCCGTCTCACCTGTTTAGGTCGGATATCTCGTCCACAGACGTGTCCACGCTGCTGACCTCGCTCTCGTCGTCCCAGGTGCGGTGCCGGCTGCTCTCCAGCTTACGGTCGTGATAGCGGTAGCTGCAGCAGGAGTCCAGGAAGAACTCGTTGATGCCCCAGTACTCTATCTCCTGACTGCCCACACATGAGAGAAGAAGAAGAAGAACAAGACGAACAAGAAGACTTTATTGATCTCACTAATGGAAAAAATTCAGTACAGCCCGTACTAAGATAAGACAAACAACAACAAATGGACACACCAGTTCGGGAAGACCGTAGGGCAGCCGCATACTAGGGAGCTCCGTTTTTTTCTTCAGAACAGACTATGCTGGGATAAGTTTTTGCAGGAAGAGAGAAAAAAAAGAAGACCAGTGCCACACCCCCTACAGGGGATATAACCATGGTTTTTTAAAAAAAACACCTCAGTACACTAAAGCACAGATACAAATCCGATGACTTTGCACACTGTTTAGATCACTGGAGGAAAACCCAGAGAGTGGCACGGCTCTACCCAACGTCCGGTCAAAACGTACCCCCGTGTCTCCATCTATGGACGTCAAGCCCTCCAAAAGCAGATCAGCAACATTACCAGTATCTTCTGGTAACCTTAATTTCCTGAGGGAGTCTTCCCAAGGGATCAATAAAGTTCAGTCTAAGTCTAAAGCCACGCGGTCACGTTACGTGCAACCGAACAAAGATCGCCGGAGCTCAAACAGCACAGAGTCAGTGAGGGGTGTGTGCGTTTTCGAACAAATAGGAGGGGGAAACAGTGTCAAACAGGAGGAGGAAGGAGCTGACCCACGCTGACCTGAAGGAGAAGACACAGAGCTCCTCCATGACGTGAAGCTTCCCCGTCTGGTAGAAGTGGAGGACGTAAGGAAACAGGCCGGGATTCCGATCGAAGTAAAACTCCTTCTCCTGCACGTCGTAGTCGTCACACACCTGACGGGAGGGATGGGGGGGGGGGGGGGGGGGGGGCGGGGGGGGGGGGACAGTTGGAAAACAGACTGATAAAAAAGGTGATTTGTTTATGACTGTGTTCCATATATAACTGCTTTACCGCCCCTCCCCTTCCCTGTTTTGCATCCTGCAGAATCGATAGGCACTTTCTATCAGTTTATATCAAGTTTTTATACTTATATTTGCACTAAACTGCCACCTTTATCCCCCATCAGCACCCAGACTTTGACTTTTTGAAGAGCTGCTGTGCCATCTTTCCCTCTGCCCAGCCCTCTTAGCTCTATACCTTCTTATTTCTCAAGAGCTGGATGCTGTTTATCTCGATACTATCATTCCCCCTTTAATACTTTAAGATCTGGGATGCACGCATTCGATCAGCCATTTTGAATATCAACACTAACAACACTGTTGTAGTAATTAAGTTTTACTAAATCCCTCTCAACATTCCGCTTCCCTTTTCTCTTTGAACAAAAGCAGACTGCAGCGGATTGTTAAACAATGTGGGGACATTGCAGGGATTAATCTTAATGATCTCTCCGCCCCGCATCAAACCGGAGTCCTTTACCAGGCCCGTTCCACCCTTACTTCCATTCATCACTGTCCCTTGCTGCTATTTGGTTTGGTTTCATCTATTTTACTCCATAATATTTTGCTGGGTCGATGTTGTTCTTTATGACGGCTGAAGCAAACTGACTGACTGCTCTCTGCAGACCAAATTCCCCCTCCAGGTAAACAAGCATTCTTTTAATCCTTCCAGCTTTTCTTTTGATGTTGAGTCTATTTTTTTTGTTAAATGTTTATTGCTGTGACTTTGGTCTGAGAGAAACAGAATTTCAAATCCTCTGTTTGTCCTGCACATATGCAGTGTAGACAAAAAAAAAAACTATTCGGACTTAAGTTTGAGATGATACCGGCTATCCTGTATCACCCACCTGTAGAATGTCTTCCTCTGAGTCACACGCCAGCAGTTTTCCCAGTCTGGTGTCTGGGAATTTCTTCAGTGTGCTGGAGCAGAGACTCCTCTTCAGACCGCCAACGTTCACACGGACCAGACCCTCCTCAGAGTCCTGGTGGACCCAGCTGGGCAGATTCTCCTTCACCATGGTTGTGAGAGCTGAGACGGACACAACAGATACACCATGATTAGTTTTTAATTCAGGATTGATTATTTTAGAAAAGGTCAGAGCGTCACGCTGGGCATTTTTCAGGTTTTAGTACTTATTTATGGTTCAACAGCCACTTTGATGGATTTGTTTTGTAAAAAGCTTCAACTTTAGATGAAAATAACTGATTTTGTGGTGAAATTTGAAATAGCTTTGAGAATATGTTGTGGGACTGTAATCGTATTCCCTTTTATGTGTGAAGAGGCATATTTTCCCACAATCTTTAAAGCAGAAATTCAAAAACCGGTTGAAGCTGTTCGTGAAAGACTTCCAAAGTGTGACTCTGAACTCCTGGTTTTTAGCTTTTTGCTGCAATTCATCATAAATGTTAACATCATCTTATTGGAGAAAGAACAAATGCTTTTTGCGTTATGAAAAAAAAGAAGCAGATGTTGAGGAACACCTGGAGTCTTATCCGCGCTCCATTCCTGTAAGTTTATTCATTATGGCATAAGATCAGATCAGAGCTGTTTAGGTAGCTCCGTTTTAGCTGATTTAAGGACATCAACAATATGGAAACTCTTGAAATCACCATGCAATGTTTTACATGTACACAGGCAGTTTACCACAGAGATAAGTTTTACTCATTTTGAAGTGTCATTTGAACAGATTTGTTTAGCTCTGGAGGAATTCACTGCAGCTCCTAACAGAGCGAGCTGATAAAGGGCATCATTTAATCTCTCTTAATGATTGAATAAGTCATATAAGTTTTCACTGTTTGATAGATAGAGAATGGACATTCACATAAAAAAAGGCCAAATGACTCTGGTCGGACGCTGTCTTGTTCATATTTCACTGAATTACCTGGGTGAACATTCTGACTTTGACTGTGCAGCCCTTCTGGAACGTTCTGATTCACAGCCAGGATGTAATTCAGATCTTGTCCTCTCTTTTGCTCCTCTGAGTCAGCAGTCACCAAAAACCAAAGAGGGTTCTTGACAAGATTTATTTTCTGCTCCGAAGGTTTTAGTTTGACTGTTTTTTGTTAAGTCGGCAGAATCAATGCGTCAGATCTGCAAAAATGTCCAGACACAAGCTAAACGCAGCGAGCATCTTAATGCTGACTACAAAACATCACGGACAAAGCTCAAAGGGCTTCCACAGACTTTCAAATCGAATATTTACAGGTTGAACCTGGCTTTAAGAAAGTCAGACATTGTTACAGTTTTCACATTTTTACCTAGAAAATAACCTTTTTTTTCTCTATGATGAAGATAAAAAACACAACAACACAGATGCATCTCCCTCTCAACCTCATTTATCGTACTCCCAGCACAAACATCCATATCGTGAGCTTACTGCCACAGATCAATAAAAGGAAAAATACTCAGAAGAGGAATTCAGTCGGTTTTACGTCAAACTCTAAAAGGTGTAAAGTCCCTCCTCCTCTTTTAACACGACAAATGTGTCAGGAAATGCATTTTCTAATCCAGTTCTTCTGAGAACTTTTCGTTTAAGAGGGCAGCAGGTGAATTTTCAGGGAATTATCATGATGTTTGGAATCTTTCCAAATGCATATTTACTTAACTGAAGTCACAACTAACTCTGGAAACCTTATCTAAGACACAACGGTGGCCTCTGAGGTTTGAAGGCAATTTTAGATCAAAAGCTTCATCCTCATCCAACTTCAACTCCAATTCATGCTCCATTTGCTGTACGGAAGAAGAGGCTCACTGTTTCAAAGTTCCCCAGATTAGTCAAATTGCATATTATTATTGTTTCATACCAGTTATGGAAAGTTTTCATTCAGTCAGTTGGCTCTAGTTTGGATGTTCTGTTATATAATAACTGCTTTTTAATTCTGATCTGAGTCATGAACTCTGGTCAAGCCCAACCAACTTGTCCATTCAGATCCATTTGAAGACGGCGGTAAGTGCCTCGCTCCAGGTAAAGTGTAGCTATAATGCCCTGTAATGCCCTAATGTTATAAAGTCTCTGGCTCCACCGTGTAGGAAATGGCCCGAGGACTCTCACTGATAGGTGTTGGTCTAATGTGAGCGTAATGGTGTTTTAACCAGAGCAGTCGGACTTCATCTACTCCTCCATCGCTCTCTCTTTTCATGCTGGTGCGTAATTGGGTTGTTTCTGTGATTTGTGGTCACGTGACCCGGTTTAAGCTGAAAACAAGCTGAAGCTCAGGTGGGTGGCGTGTTTAGAAATGCCAGCGGTGAATAAAAACTAGAAGTATATTCTCTGTTGTTGTTTCATTGTCTGCCTCTATGGCTGTTTTTATGGACATTTTGACTCCTTTTTGGGTTTTTGTGGTCTTTATTGTTGTTTTTTGTTGTTAGTCTTCCCCATTAGGGTCATTTCATATATCGTATGTTTCTTTTTTAGTCCATTTTTAGATTGATGTGGTCCTGTTGTATCTCTCTGCCATTTGATTGATTTTCTGTTAAGCTAAACATGGACATATTAACAAGGAAGCTTGAGTCAACGTTGGGACCGCTCTAAAAGCCGTATCCACGGTCCCGACACCCTTCAGGCTTCCCGACAGCTAAAGAGAGCGACGTCGTAAAGCTTTATGGTTTTTAATTCACAGGCTGTTTAAAGTTTTATGGTAACTGGCCGCCAACATCGCTTTGCATTCACCAGAGACGTTGTTGGCATGAGGACCAACCTGGAATTTTCATTTTGGCTTTACAAAAGACAACAAAGGAGATGAGATGGCAAGACAACACAAACCCACATCTTTAGTGGCAGGAAAGCACAGGTTAAGGCTCAAAGCATCAATAACAAAGGAGGAAAATATGTCAAATATTGATGTTGTTTGAAATACTTTTTATGTAGAAAAGCAGAATTCCACCCAAAACTGCATTGACTGTATGTTGTAAAGAGTAAAGAGACTCAAACCTTTGGTTAAATGAAAACAATAACACATTTTAACATCCCTGTTTGTTTCCGTGTTTTTGCATGACCATCCATCCATCCATCCATCCATCCATCCATCCATCCATCCATCCATCCATCTATCCATCCATCCATCCATCCATCCATCCATCCATCCATCCATCCGTCCATCCACACTGGGTCAGAGGTGGTGACACCCTGGACAGGTCACCAGTCCATCACAGTCCATCACAGAGACACATGAGACTGACCACTCACACACACACTCGCTCCTCCAGGTATTTTAGAGGCAGCAGTCAACTTAGTCAGAGTACCCACACACACACACACACACACACACACACACACACACACACACACACACACATCCACAC